GAACAATAAGGCAAGGAGGCAGCCCAGGCAACCCAGGCAGTTCGCGGGCCAAGCTCGTTGCCCAATCGTGGCATCTTAATGCTGTGCGACTGACATTTAAATAGATGCTAATTCTCATCATCATAACTGTAAGGAACTGGAAGAGTTAAGAGTTACGAGTTACGAGTTAAGACTTAGTCAGCGAGTTGGTCTAATAAATGGATTTTCGCTCACGATGTGCACTTTCTTGGCTGGGAAGCGCAACTATTTGAGCCACTTCCCGCTGGCCGCTTTCTTCGGCGCGTGAATCCGTGTAACCGCAAACTGTGATTTAACCAAAAACAGAAAGCCGACGCCGACGACCAGGCTTGCGGATATAAACGCTATCAAAGTGCATGTTTTGCTCGCCCGGATGCGACCGACTGACAAACCCCACAAACCAACCAAACCAAACCAAACCGAACCGAACCAAACCGAACCAAACTCCAACTCCAACTCTGACAATGTCTCTTTACGCAGTGTTTGTTGTTGTTGTTATTGTTGCTGTTGTTGCTTTTGCTGTTTCGTGTCAACTGGCTTTGGCTTTGGCTTTGTTCGCCAGCCGCCCCTGGCCTGGCCATAACATTTGCTTAACGTTTCCTGTTGAACTCATCGCGCTGTGCCTCACTTGGCATCGTTTGGTTTGGTTTAGGTTTGGATTGGCTTTCGGTTTGAGGTTTGGGTTTGGGTTTGGGCTTGGGTTGTGATTCCGCCTACCCACACACAGTGGGTCCTTTTCGGCTATATCAAATATATCAAATGTCTGATGCTTTTAGTGGCTGACAAACTCCAGCCAGATTTTCATCCCTTAACATAATTGTTATTTATTCAAGGGCAATTGATTTTATGTCTTTTGATTTCTTTCCTTGTCATTTGCTAAAACCCAAAATGAAGTATGGCATTTTTTCTATATTACAAATTTTCTCTTCTGAAAACCATCGTTGAAATTTTTGAATTTTGGAAAACCTCCGTTTATATTTATCACTTAAAATTAGCAAACAACAAGCCACAAAACGAAATCATTGAATGAAAAAAGTTATTTAATATTGTTTGTTTGTTAGGAAAATGCCTGAAAATTCGAATATAATCAGTTGAGTGCCTGACTTATAAAATAATTAAATAATATTAAACAAAATCCATATAAAAAAAAGCCAATCAACTAGAAAATTATATATTGACTACATAAATTTGAGCTATAAAAAAGGCATATTTAAAAAGTGAGAATCAAGTTTAGATCATCAATTTGTGGCAGGCACAAATATTGCCAGTGCTACGACTTTCATATATCATATATAGATCATATCTCTATATATTTATAGATCAGCAAAGATCTTGAAATCAATGATTGAATCGCTGGTTTGATTTTGTGCACCACTGTGGATGATGGGTTTGCTGTTGTTTTGCACTGTTGGAATTGTGCGTTAGATTTAAGTGCTTTCGTTGTGGGGCTTAATTTGCATTTTTATTTTTATGTTTTCATTGAAAGCGCCAGCATCAATGGAGCCCGCTAACTGCAAACGCAAACAAGGGGCGCATGGAGACGGGTTGAGAGGGCGACAGGGAGACGGGGAGACGGACCCACACATTTGGCTATTCCTTTGTTGTTTTTTGTTTCCTTTTAGCGGCGGCTCCTATCAGTGTCGGTAGATGCACACGCCATCAACGGTAGCAGCAACAACAGCAACAACAGCAGCAGCAGCAGCAACAACAAGAGGCAACAACAGAAACATGCAAATGCAAATGTTTATTGCCCAAAATGCTGTGAGAGAGGTAGATGGGAAGTGGAGGGAAGGGGGTCAAAGGGGGTGGTGAGCAGAAATGCATAGAGCTGAAATTGAAGTTGAAGTTAAGCGGGTGCTGACTGTCAACAGCGAGGCAGCTGGTCAACGTGCAACATGCAACATGGGGGCAGGCAAGCTGGCAAGCAGGCAGGCAGCCACACAACTGTTGTCGCCATATCCAAGTGGCCATTTTGGTAAAAACAACTAATCAATCGGCAAATGTGCCATCCGTCAATCATTGGCTTGTGGTGTAGGTCACACGACACCACAGAATTGAATTGAATCGCATTCACTTTGGCTCTACCAAACAAAATGCCACCTTGGCTGTGAATGTCAGTTGGCCAATTTGGTTGCAGCTAGGTAGCCATGCAGCCAAAGCAGGCAGGCCAGGCCAGGCCAGCTAGCCAGGCCAGGCCAGGCAGGCATTCAGGCATTCATTCAGGCACTCATTCATTCAGTCATATCATACCGACTACTGACGAACTGACTCGCGCTGACTGACTGAGTGACGGATCGGCATTTATTATTAGCCTTTCCCAAATTGACTATTTTTGGCACTGTCGATGGCCACACAACAACAATTACAATTGCAACTGCAGCAGCAACTGCAGCAGCAACTGCATCAGCAACATGCCGCACATATCACAGCAAGACAAATTTCTATATAATTGCATTTGTTGCAGGCTCCACTCGAGGCCAGCGGCCCCAACAATAAAATACAAATACAAATACAAATAAAAATAAGTAAAATAAAAAGCAAAACGCAAACAAAACACACAATACAAAACAATGCTGCATTATTTTTATAAATTGCATGCCACTGGCCGCTGCATTCCACGCAGCTACTACTTGCCACACTCGTCTCACATTGGGTTGGGTCCGCTCAGCTCCAGCTCCACGCAGCTCCACGCAGCTCCAAGCTCAACTCTAATTGTCATTTAATGAGACACGCTCGGCATTTGCGCACGACACACGACTATCAATTTGGCGAGCAGCTCCTCGTATCGATGGCTCTTTTTGCTGCTGGATCGCTGGATCTCTCTCCACTCCACTCCACTCTCCGCTGAAGCGTGTCCTTCTCCTCCTCCTTGTCCCGGCTCCTACTCTCATCATGCTGTTGCCGTTGCATTTGGAGTGATTTTTATAAATTGATTTGTTCATCTGAAAGGGTATGCATTAAAAAAATCGAAATATTTCATCAAATTTAGCAAACGATTTCTATAGAAAAACATATATGGTTATTCAATGCCATAAATAGATATTTATTGCTATTTTTACTTGCCATAAAATATATAGTAATTTAGCATTGGCTCCTTTGTTAAGGTTCAATTTTAATTAGATTAGTTCACCATTTCCAACACTAATTTTATAGTTTGCTAATCTCCTCCGGCAATTTATGGATCTCTAACAGCTGACTGACACAACATGACAACTAATTAATTAAACTTTAAATGTTTATTGCTATCAGCGACAGCGATTCTTATTTCCTAGTATTATTTATTTTATTTATTTTTTGTTTTTTGCATTTTATTTTGCCAATCATTTGCTTATCATGCTTCTATAAATAGCATCATTTTAAGTTGATGTGAAACAACCCTGTTCATTGTTCGCCAAGCATAAGTTGGGTGTATTTTCGGCTGGCCGCCAACTGCCTCCGTGGCGCAATTGGTTAGCGCGTTCGGCTGTTAACCGAAAGGTTGGTGGTTCGAGTCCACCCGGGGGCGGATTACTTTTTTGCGCTTTTATTATATTTTTCGTAATTATTAAATACATTTAACGTGTGCTAAGTGACTCAGCGCATACATATTACACCTAATTATTTTATTTGTTATTTAAAAGCATTATTATTCTTATATTAAATGCCATTTTATTGTGTATGTTGTGAATTTTTATTGTACAATCATTGCTGGTTTCTGAAAAATAGGTAGTCGAATATTTAAATATACAAATGATAGCAATTTAAATGCTGTATTCATCTGTCAAGTCATTAGGATGAGGTTGAGAAACTTTCGCCTGTTTGAAGTCTTGAAACTTGAACTTGTCAACCGAAAACTGTCAAGAATCCAACATTAAAATTCATATAAATAGTTATTGTAATCATTCTTAAAGTTTAATGTATTAAATTACAAACGATTTGCACATGACAAGTAAGAAAAGCTCATACGCTTTTTAAACTCGTTAACACGAGTAGCAAAATGCAAACAGGTGTTTTTGCTGTGTGTGTGTGGCAGCTGCAACATGCGTATCTTCTTTTGTTTTTGGTTGCGAGCGTAACAACAGTAACAGTTGCAGGCGTTGCAGCAGTTGCAATAGTTACTTACTGCTGCCAAAAGTCAAGTTGCACGACTTAAAAGACAATTTGTCAACGTTGTTGTTGTTGTTGTTGTTGCTGTTGCTGCTGTTGTTGCAGTAGTTGTTGTAGTTGTTGCCTGTGTGCTGTTTGCTAATTAAAATGTCTTGATGCTGTCACTCAAAAGGCAGTCGCTCGAAGCCGGCAGACGTCCACAGCGACAACAACAACAACAACAGCAGCAGCAGACGACGCCCATTTTGGTCAGCTGTGTGTTGCAGTGGCAACAATGCAATTTAACCATACGCGTCACTGCTACAATTTCATTGGAAGTTGATGGCACAGTTGCACTGGCAGTGCCAGTGCCAGTGGTAGTGGCAGTTTGCTGCCAACAGCGCACGAGACGTATGCGCAATGGACGGACAAAATGGCGAACGCATTGTTACAGTTCGCAATTATTTTTTTTTTGCCAGAGACACTAATCAAAATTAAAATGATGCGACGACTGTTGCTGTTGTGGATGTCAATGTTGATGATGATGATGAGCTGGAGAGCTGTAGAGCTGTCCCTGCACAGGTTCGCTTACCGAGCCAGAAATCAATATTCTAAATTCTTTAACGCGTGTGCACATTTAAGGCAACAAGCTGGCTCATTGAAATGCGCGCCGGCGTGCAACGCGGCCAGCACTTATACGCAATTTCGCGCCATATTTGGTGCAAGCATATTGCTTTTTTCTTATTTTTCTTCTTCTTTTTTTTACTGTGTGGCACACACACACAAAAACACACACATTCATTTACTTACTTGGCCCGCATATAGAACAGTTGGCTGGCTCATCTTTGGCTTAAGATCAGGCCAGACTGTTTGGCTGCAACAGTTTCTAATCTGCCCCTTCTCTCTCTTTGTTGCAGGATGAACGTTCACCAACATCGTCTGGCAATGAATCGGATGATTCGTCCGATGTTGAAATGCCAATGCCAACGGATGCCGTCGATGATGCCAAGCCAACGCCTCAGGATCTGAAAGCTGAGGCAGCTGCAGCAGCAGCAGCAGCAGTAACAGCTACTACTTCAGTATCTGCCACTTGCCCCAAGGCAACAGCATTGAGTTATCAGACTGAATCGGGACCCTCGACATCCATGGCATCATCCGCAGTGGCAGCAACAGCAGTGGCAGCAACAGCACCGGATAGCAAATATGTTTATCCGGCTACCTCGTTCGCCAATATACCGCCGGATATGCTGCGTCAGCTTATACAATCAGGACAGTTGCAGCTCCATGCCGAGGAAGGTGAGTAATCTCCAATCTCAATTGACAAGAAATATTCCTTTGAATATACCCGCATATGATTGGCAATAGTTAATAATATTTATAAATTAATCAAAATCGATCTTTATTAATTAACTTATTGATTTTTGTTTTTAGATGGCAATCAGTATGTGACCATACCACTGAGCTCCACTGTAGCCAGCTACATTAAGGGCAAATCAACGGCTGCTGCAACTGTCACCAGCTCCAACCAGAAGTCTGAGAAGAGTGCCGAGAAAATCTTATCAATTAAACAGGAATACGATTAACCGTTCTTCAATGCATTGCAGTGGCATAAATGGAGATTGCTTTTATGACAACATTTGAATAAATACTGTATACTGTATTCTGTAAATCCATATCCAATCATGCAACTCAAGACACAATCACAACCAGATACACACAACATATACACACAAGTCTATCCATAGTTTTTATCATAATATTGATGCATTGCTGTTCACCCACACACATCTACGCCCAAGTCACACATATATATATATATATCTATATTTATATATCTATATCTATATACGCATAAAACATATTTATATAGACTATTTTTATACCTATATAACAAGCTGAGCTGGCTGCAGACACAGTTGGCTTGGCATCTGTCTCAGTCAGAGGCAGATAATCAAATAAGTTATAAAGTTTACAAGTTCTATGAGATTGAATAACAGAGATGAAGTTAAGGAGGAAGGAGTCAACATGATGATGATGATGATGATGATGATGATGATGCTGATGAAGCTGATGATGTTCCTAAGCTGCCGATATAAAGTTGCTTTGTTAATAGTTTATATTGTTTTATTATATTATACATATAAACCACATTTTTTTGCCAACAACACCAAAATGAGGAAATGTTTCTAAATTGTATTTTTTAAATAAACCGAAAACAAATGGAATTCAAGCAATTAATCTTTGTATTTTAACTGAACTGTGGAAATTATTTGAATTTTGCGTAAGTATTTTGTGAGTTAAACATAATCATTTCTCTACTTGTATTTATTTGTGTAAAGTTGCTGTTCCTTTAGAAAATTAATAAAAAAATAGACTCAGTTTGAAATAAAATATTTTTTATTTTTTTTTACTACTTTTCAAAGGGTACTATTCAAATCTAACTTGCCAGCTCGGAGACTCTAGCTCTAAAATTGTAGAAAACATAGGTATCAAAGTATAAAAAGAATAAACCAGACTAAAATGCCTTTTGGTATTTAGCCACTTGATTGATATGTGTGCTTTCAGCATGTGTGTGTGCGTGAGTGTGTGTGTGTGTGTTGATTGATTGACGACACAATCTTATTGACACTTAACCTAATTAAACATCGCTCATTACTTAGTAGCTATCTCAAAGGTGGGTGGGGGGGTCTCTTCCATGGAGGGCAGCACCTGTTGTTGTTCCTATTCTGGTTGGGTTCTCTTCTGTTAACCGTTTCGCTTATGCTTATATCTTGGGGGCAGTCGCCGACGCTTCCGCTTTTAAGCCATTTGCATGCCAAGTAGCAGCCACTTGACCAAAGAACAAAAAGAAGAAAAAAAAGAACGTGTGGCACATGCATAATGTATACTTATGTGAACGCTTTGGGCGGTGCTTGGCACGCGCCGGAGCTTCCGTAGGTTCCGATAGGTGCCGCAGGGGCGGACATGCTGCTGTTGGTACTTGGCCAGCTTTCGAGCCGGAAGCCGTTAGTGTTTCGGGCCCAGTGCCACTTTTATGGCCAAGCGACTGCGTTGACAATGGCCAACTGTAAAAATCGAATAAAACCCTTTGGTCAAAGTTGAGTGGGTCACTAAACTTTGGTTTGGCTAATGTTTAACAATGCCACTGACTAGATTTGTGTACTGCCTACTTATTAACTTGTATGTGTATATGTATGTGTGTGTGTGTGTGTGTGTGTGTGTGTGTGTGTGTGTATGTGTGTGTTTGTGGTTGTGTGTGCAAATACAACCACAATTAGCGTTGATTATGGCCACGAACTGGAGTTGATTGACATTGGTCACAGTAGCCAGTAGCCAGTGGGTGTGCCTCTGTCTATGTTTGTTTTGTTTACCATTATTATCCACATCCACGCAACTGCACGCTGAAAAATACTTGCCTCATTTTTCCACAAAATTGTGTCCTGAAAAATTATTACAAATTTTGAATTTTCATTTACCAAAAGATTGTAAATAAATAAAAATAAATTAGCAAATTTATTAATTGTACAAAGATAAACTATTTCAATTTAATTTAACAAGTAAATACTTGAATTAAACTTATTAATTTGAATGTCTTAAAAAATGATTCATAATTTTGATTTATGCCCGCATTCGTTTTCAGTGTAGTGCGAAATAGAAAAAAAAAGAATATATATAATATACATAGACGACTTAGACATATGAGTATTGATCCTGCTGGCGGACAGGTGTCCTGGCTGCGCCCCCACGATTATTATTAATGACCAGCGCAAAACTTTGCATTGCGATTCCAATTTCAGTTCCCATTGCGACTCGCTGCCAAACGGCCACACATTTTAGTCATTTTCCGAAGTGTCTCCAGCAAAGTGCTGCAGGCAAAAGAAGAAAAAAAATAATATAAAAAAAACAGTCAAACTTACACAAAATCAATATTAATGAGCCATTAAAAGCTGCTGCTAATGACTGAAGTGAGCGGAAATTGAATAGGTTGAGCGTTGAAGGAATCACAGACAGACTTCGCCTTCGAATCGGATGTAGCCAGTACAGTGCCAGGAGCAGGAAATCGCATTAGCATTAGCCTTAGTATCAGCATCAGCATCAGCGAGCAGCTCAACTGATTCACGTTAAAAAGTCCCAGGCTAGAAACGGAAGTTTTAGCGTAATGCCTTGCGCCTGAGCTGCCAGCTGATGGGCAATGGGCTGCTCCAGTTCACAGGCGACGACAACAGCAATTGACGAGACAAAAGCAAAAACAAGACCCAACAGCAAAATGGCCGACTTGCCCAAGCCGGAATACCGTAAGTACGGTCCCAAATTATATATTCTACAACTTGCATAAACCATTACCAATTACGATTTAATGTAGCTGCCTCGGAGGCATTCACAATTCCCCTCGATGATGACGTGGCCAGTTCAACGGATCAATTAAATGACACCCTGCGCCAGCCGCCGAAGCGACTGCAGCAACTGATGCAACAGGCAGCCGAAACGGAGCCAATCACCTTCGAGGAGCTGGAGGATAAGCAGCAGCGTGCCGAGCAGCGACGCCAGGAGCTATTGCAGCAGAAGGTCGAAACTATACAGAAGAACACACAGATGCTAATGCGGGCTCACGGAGAGCGAGAGGAGACGGTGGAGGGAGCAGAGCAGGTTGACGAGGAGCAACAACCAAAATCTACACAGGATTAAAGCCACAATTTTATAACTAAACCGTTGGCATTAATTATTACTATTCATACTATTCAGGCACAAAAACCAGATTGAGTGAATGCACTCAAATATTTATATTGTTTACAATTACAATTTAAATTTGTCAGATGAATACTTTTGGTAAATTTATAATGCTTAAAGCACCAACGCATTTTGCACATATTTATAAATTTGATGAAATGTTTAGATCAAGAAAATTATGAATTTCTTTGTTCGAAATAAAAATCAAATATAATAATTATTGTAGTTACTCACTTCGACAGACCAAATCCATTTTATGTGTCACTCAATTAAAACACTAATTACTAAGAGAACATATTAAGCAAGGTTGGTCATTACTCATTATAGATTATTGATGTTCCAATTAGACACTATATAAATATCGTATTTTATAGAAATGTGTTAAATAAAATATCTCACATACTTACACAATTGATTGAGCTGCATTCACTTTATATACAACAAATAAAATAAATGAAATTATTTGAAATACTTTTCATTCACATTGTTTTATTGTTAGCTTTAATTCATATATGTATTTTAAATTGTATTATTATTATTATTTCATATATCGTAGTATATTTCCAAACAATTAGATTGTATGCAATTAAATTTTCATTTCTTGTTCATCTGCTTGTGGAAGCATTACAAATTGTTGTCAAAACCGTGATCTATGTGATCTATATATGTATACATAGTTAGTTCAGGATTGATTGCAGAGATATATGTGTGTATATATATATATTTATATATGCCTCATTTTGGATGTGTGCGTGGTTTGTAAATCATGTCTTTTGGGTTGTAGTTTGGTTTCGCACTGTTGGTTTTGCTTTTCAACTGGTTTAGTTTACGCTTTAGATATCTTAAGTATACACAAATATATACTCGAGTTGTGCCATTGAGACTACAAATGTTGCTTTGATTTCAGCTTAGGATATCCTTAAGAGGAGAATATCCAATTGTTTGTATCTGGTTGTAATTAGTTAACTACAAGTTGATAAAAAGGATGTTCATTTTGCTTCTCATCTTAGATATTTAGTTATGTGTCCGTATATATGTATGTATTTCTGTGTCTGTATTTCGCTTATGCTATTGTATTTTTGTATTTGTAATTTATTTCTCATATGCTTTTAATATATATGTATGTAATTTCATAATTTGTTTTATTTTTGGTGCAGTTGGAAAATTGTTTATTTAATCATTAAATGGAGTTCAAATTGAGGACAGTCGATGGAGCATTTCATTTGATATATATATATATATATAGATATATATCCAGCTAAAACCTATATAACTGAAACCCATTCACCTAAACAATCGCTTGACAAGCTCGTCTTGTGATATATGTGGCATATTGAATAGCCTTCCTTTAAAACGGCACAACCTTTATGTTAAATATTGCTAACTATTTGGCATACACATGATCTGTTTAAACGTCATCCCATTGTGCAGGTCTCTTTGTTATCTGCCAATCGAACTTCCCTCAAACTAAAATATTGAAGTTGACCAAAGATTCTTTTCAGATTTGCGACACCTTCTGTCTTTCTCTATCTACCCTATCGGCTCTGCTCTCCCATCGACTTCCCCTCTCGTTTGAGTGTGATGCGTGGTGCCTGATTTTCTATTGCTTTTTTGTTCAATAAACTTTAGTTCTCTTCTCGTATTTTTTCTTCTTCTTCTTGAGTTTTGTTTTTTTTTTTTGGTTTTTTTTTTACAAAGTTTTAATCAACAGTTACAAAAGTTTTGTTCTTAGTAGTTGAACTATGGTGGGTTACGTTCTTAATAGATACATATACTTGTGTTTTTCTTTTCTTTTCTTTTCTTTTCTTTTCTTTTGTTTTCTTTTGTTTTTCATATATAATATACTATAAATTTGCTTGGTTTACGCATAGTTGATGTTTTGGGCTTCTGAACTTCTTCATATTCTGCTTCTCGCTCCTCTGGTACTTATAAATTAAGGTTTGCCTTACTAAAGATGATTCAAAACAACCCAAAAAAAAAACACAATATTTGAAAAAAAAAGAACATAAAACACGTGCTGTACAATCACTCGCCGCATAATCCAAGATGTTGCAAATCCCAATCCCCAATCCCCAATCCCCCTTGTTACCCGTAACACAATCTGGAAAAGTGCACTGTTCGCGATTCGTTGCCTGCCGTACAATATCTCTGTAAGTTTGAACTGTATTAAAGCTTTTTCTTTCGGGTTTTGCGTACGCCAACAACTTAAGCTTAACCATATATATATATTTGATTTATGTATAATATAGTATAATATATATATATATATATACACATCTATATATATACGTATATATCATATAATGTATTCCAAATCATTATCATTTATATTTGTATTAAATTCTTGTTGCATGGAGCATGTGCCTACCTAAAAGTAAACGCCTAACAAAATTGGGTTTCTCATATGATGTGGTTGCTCTTAACTAGAAGCTACGATTGCTGCTCAATAAGTTTCCATATGCCATATGCCATGTGTTGGGAAAGTATGCCAAAATCAATTTCTTCGTGCTCTTGATGTTTTTGTTTTTTTAGTAAAGTATTATCGGTCAGTTCTTTAAAATGCAAATATTATTTTGATTATAATTCATCTTTCTTTCTTTTGCTATACAAATTGGCACAGAATTGTGTATTCGAAACATATTTCATATGGAAGAACATTCTTATTGGTTTTTGTACTTAAGGAGAATTATTTGGGTATTCATTCGCTTCATCGATACAGATGTATCCAATTCGTTTCATATCACTTTCAAATGTGTCTTTCTCATTTTGCTTAAAAATAAAAATAAATAAAAATATAATTAAATATCTGGAACTTTGACGTTTTGGACCAAATCTCTAACCTAATATATATATATATATATAATAATGCAATATATATTACAAAAAAATATATATAAATTAATATATAATTGAATAAACTATCGTTTATGGATTTTATTGTACTTTTGTTTGTATACCGAAACATTTACAGAAATTCAAGAATATTTTTGACTGATCAAGCTTAGCATAGCTTTTCAATACGGGAAATGTGTTAATAAAAATACAAAATTCATTCTTATATTATACTATTTTGCGTTCTTTTAAATTCTTGAAATTCTCCAACCATTCTTAATGACAAATTCTTAACTTTTCAACTTAACTTTTAACCTTTGGCATGTAGGAAACTTAATAAGCAACACTCTCATATTATAATTACATATATGCATGTATATATATATATATATATACTTTTGGGGGCTAGACATCAAAAATCAGTACTGCTTGTCAAAGTGTTTAACCTAAGCCTAGTTTTGGTTTTTGCTTTTTGCTTTTTACCAACAATTTTATTACTTTTTGCCTTTTACTTTTGCACACAACATTTATTGCAACTATTTATGAACAGAATTTGTGTTTGTTTGTTTGTTTGTTTTTTTTTTTTGGGTGATGGGCAGGGGCTCTCTAGTTATATACGCCCCTGACCATGCCCTCGCGATTACGCGTATGCCACTTGCAGGTGAGTATCCTTATGTAGGTGCGCCGAAAGGATGCATTGCACAAAGCATAGCACATGGGATTTATGGTGGAGTTGATGTAGCACAACGCATAGAAGAAGTCCCACAGTTCGGTGGGTATGCAATCCGAACAGGTGGTCAGCGGCTTGATCAGCACCAGAATATTATACGGCGTCCAGGTGATGATGAAGCTCAGCAGGATGGCTGACAATGTTTTCGCCGCCTTCGATTCCTGTCGTTTCTCCTGCGATTTCTTCTTCTTCTTGGCCGCATTGCGTGCATTGAGAAGTGCGTGCTGCCCCGTCACAACACCCGCCTTGCCCAGCTGCTTGGGTATTACTTTCGCGTTGAGCAATCGCATATCCTGCGGTGCATGCGACATACGCCGGCCCAGCGGTAAACTGAATTCCGAGTCACGCGACGGCAACGGTCGACGTGTCGGCGGCGGCGGGTTATTGACCATGCCCACGCCAACACCAGCAACACTTGAACCGGCAATGGCAGCGGCCCCGGCCACAACATCCTCGTGTATCATTTTGATGGAGGGTGCATTATCCGTTTGGGTTGCAGCGTTGCCCACACTTGGTGCATTGTTGCCGCCATTTGCCGCACTGGCGCCATCTGGCGGCAGTCGTATGAGTATTGTATAGACAGAATCCTGGCTAACGGAACGCGATCCAATCCGGTTGCTGACGGGCAGCGAACGTGCGTTGGCCGCTGAAATACTACAGCTAGCAACACCATTCAGGTTAGCGTTGTTGGCACTGCCAACGCCACCACCGGCGATGACACCGCCACTGACATTGCTGCTGCCGCTGTTGATGCTGATGTTGATGTTGCCGTTGCCATTGTTGTTCACCGCATTCATATCCTGCATTTGCAGCTGCGAAATTGAATTATGGGGCGGACGCATCGGTGTCGGCGAAACATCCGCCAGCATTATGCTCGGTGGCCGGACACCACTGACACTGCCGCCCAACGAGTAGTTGTCCCGCATCACGTTCATCGAGGTGCATCTGTGAACGAATACAGAACGAACAAAAAAATGGAAAAAGAAAAAGAAAAAGAAAAGGACACAAAGGCATGTCGCACTTTAGTATCGCCAGAAGCTTCAACACGACACCTGACATCAGAAGACATCAGGCGTCAAGCGTCAGGACATTGACAGGCCTTACAAACTGTGACAAGCTACGACAACAACAAAAACAACAACCAGGATCAGTTTTGGAGCAGCGGATGCCAACTGCCCCACGTCCAAGCACACACACACACACATACACAGGAATGGGAAAAACCAGCGAGGGAAAGGGGGAGAAAGAGCGAGTTGGCAACTGAAATTGGTTTTCATTTGGGTGGAAGAGTCCCTTGAATTCAACTGAAATGTAATCAATTTTAAAGTTGAGGGTTTACTTGCTCAATCGAAGCACAATCTATCAATGTTTAACTGAAAACCAATAATACATTGCAAATTACTAAACTATCCGTGTTATAAATTGAATTTCAAACAGAAAACTGGAACTTAACTTGATATCAGATCGAAAATTGTGTTTTCAAATCGAGATGCAGGTCAAATCCTGATTATCAAATTATTACTTTTGCAAATCGGTTCAGCTTTGACAGAGTTATGGCTTTGGTTAAACCAAAAATCGAATTTTTACTATTTTAAAATTTAAACGCCGCCCCAACTAAAGTGCATTATTTTTGAATGTGGCCTCGATTTGTGTTTGTGGCCTTGGTAAATTTGAGCCCACATGGATTAATAGCAGAACAAAAGTAAAATGAAAATCCAATTACCAAAAAGAAAAACTCTGACTCAATGGCAGCTTCAACAGTTGCCACAAATTAAGCATGCATGGAAGAGGAGAGGAGAGGCGAGGAGAGGGTTGGGGAGTCGTTTCCACTTCTCCCTGACTGAGTTTGGCGCATTGCTGTGCATTCGTCTGTGTAACTGAAGTACGATGTGCGAGTACTTTTCGGGTGCACTGTGCGTCTATTGATGACTGTGCTGTGCTGTGCTGTGCTGGGCTGTGCATGGTGCATGGTGTATGCTGCATGGTGCAAAATGAGACCGTTCTGTGTGGGTGGGTGGCAATAGAATTTATTTTCATTTTGTTTTTCCCTTGGGGCAAGCATCGATTCGAGTTTTGTGTTGTTCTTTGTTGTGTATGAAGTGCTCTGAGTGCATTTGCGATTTGAGACGCCAACACACACACACACACACACACACAGTGAGTGTGTGCGTGTGTGTGTGTGTGTGTGCCTTTGAGTGCGGTGTTTGCTTACACAAAATTAGACGATTAAAAGAATGAGAGCTGCTTTTTTTGTACTACCTGGAGACGGAGCTTTGTAAAGGAGTTTCAATTGTTACTGGTGTTGCATACCCTAAATCAGATGGCTCCTCCTGCTCATACGCAAAATCATCGGAATCCTCGCGACCCGAATGCCACCACGCGATGCACCACTCCTTGATGTTGCCAAAGCATGAATATGGCTTTTTGATTGTATTTGTGCTCTTTATCTGCATATCACAAAATCCACATCCAAATCCAAATGCAAATGAAACATTAGTGAAAACCATAAAACAACAATTGCATTGCACACGTTGAACTTACGCTTGACTTGCGGGAGTGCATGCCATGATATCCGGAATCGATGACCATATTGGTCATGTAAACGCTTTCCGCATCCGCCGAACTCTCGGAGCGCGGTCGACGCCAGGTATCGTGATCATTGCCACCCAGCTGGGCAAATCCCAGCAAGCCTCCACCAGTGTGATTCACCACAGTGTTTTCATCGCTAAAATGGTAATTAAAGCAAAGTGTTAATTTAAATACATTTGTTTAGCGCATAAAAGTATGCAACCGAAAATTAGCTTATTTTATTAGTTGTGCTTATTTCTTTTAGAGGAGGAATCCCATCAATTTTACTGATACAAATTTCAAGAACTATTTGAGTCATCCTTAGCTGACAAGCATTTTGGTACAACACAATTTTGTTGGCTGAAAGCGACAGAATTCTAAGAAATTGGAAACCCATGAAAACAAAGTAAGTAAGGAATCCAAAGAAGCTTTCATTCTTAAGTCTTTGTAGCCTTAATTTAAGAAATGAGTGCAGTTTATTTTATTTTAAGTTGATGCAACAAATTTAAAGTCATATTTTGTTTCAATTTCATAGCAAAAAAAGAATTACAAACCAAATCCAATTGCAGAAAAGAAATTAATTGGGAAATGAACATTGGCTTGTGGCTTAGAAATTGAATTTCTGCTCACCTGCTATTGGAACGCTTGCTGGAATCCTTTTTGCCCGCCTGCAAATTGGGCAAATCCTTTTGCCGCTTCTTCGTTTCGCGCCAGATGCGAAAATAGAGAAAACACATGATCGTCACGGGAAAATAGAATGCGGCCAGTGCTGTGCCAAATGTAATATACTGATTTGTCTCTATAAACTGTATGTAGCACTCGTCCTTGGGCACGGTGCGTTTACCCTCGATATAGGGCCAACTGTAGATCCAGGGTGGCCAGAGCAATAAACTAACTCCCCAGGCGGCGCCAATCATTACCGCCGCCTTATTTGTCGTTCTTTTGGCACGATAAGTCAACGGCCTCGTCACACTGAAATATCGATCAAAGCTAATGATCAACAGATTCAAAACGGATGCATTCGAGGCCAAATAGTCGAGGGCCAGCCAAGTGTCACAGATACGTGGCCCCAATGGCCAATAGCCCAAAATGGTCGTCACCGCAAACAGTGGCATCGAAATCGCACCAATTGCAAAATCCGCAATCGCCAGCGAGAAGAGAAAATAATTGCTGATCGTTTGCAGTTGTTTATCGATCTTGAATGAGATCATCACCATCACATTGCCAGCAACTGTTACCGCGCTCAAAATCGCCGCTACGAAACCCATTACCACCATTGATGCCAACGAATAACGTGGTCCCTTCGTCTCAAAGCCCAAAGTGCCGTTCGTTTGATTCCCATACGGATCATAGAAATTGCTGGCTGCCGTCGACGTTAGATTCTCCAATAAGGCCGTTAGCAGTGTGCTGCTGGTTGTGGGGCTGATGGTGGGGCTGCTGCTGCTGCTGCTTGTGCTCGGTGCTGTTGTTGTTGTTGTTGTGGTTGTGCTCGTAGTAACGGTTTTAAACAACGGCTCCAGTATGCTGGGCGGCCCGTGAGCGGCCAAGGCCAAGCTCATAACCGGCTCCATGGCGTATGCGTGATATTATTTGTTGATTATTCGTTTTTTTTTGTTTTGTTTTGCTTGCTAATTGGATTTTGATTTGATTTCGTTTTGCGACTGCCGGCTTATTGCCGTTTATAATTTGTGGTATGCTTTATTTGAGTGGTGACTTCTAAATGGCATTCGATGAGAGGCGTTTGTCCTGCTGCTGCTGCTGCTGCTCTTGCTCTTGCTCTTTCTGTTGCTCTTGCTGCTTATCCTTGTTGCACCCACGCGCTGGCGCTGGCGCCTTCCTTGTGCGCATTTTTGCACTGGCCCTGTAAAAATACATATATAGACACATTCACATACATATATATATATATTATATATTTATATATATATATAATACAGTGAGAATTATGAGCTGTCGCAGGCCTTTGATACATGCCCCCTCCCACAACCGCCGCTTCCCCCCCGATCAAAGACAGAGAAGCCGCCTGCGGCTGCAAGTCTGCTTTGTCCTTTTTGCAAATGACATTTTCTGTGTGATTTGTTTTAATGAAAATGTAAATGAAAAACTGCTTGAATGCGTTTCCTTGGCAAGTCGCACACACAGTTACAGATAAACATGCCACGCCCACGCCTTGCTTGTATTTATTGTTGCTGTTGTTGGTATTCTGCCAACAATGGGCTCGAACATGCAACAGTCAGTGTAGGCAACAACAGCAACAAAAAAACAACAAAAAATACAACAAACATATAAACTTGGCTGGCAACCCAGAAAACACACCCGTTCCCCGCTCGTGCAGAACACTTTGGCACGGAAATGTTCAAGACGGCTTCCTCTGACACTTTTCAAAAACTATTGATGTTGTCATTGGCTATATATATATACATATGTATATATGTATATATATATGTGTAGACATAGATATATCCATACAATATTAGACATGGTCTTCACATTGTGTTTTGATTTGGAAAGTTTTTTAATAAGTTACGCATACGGCGTGGCATTGGTGGTCCTTTCTGCTGATGCTTTTGACATGATATGCGACATGATTGATTTGTATTGAGTCCTTTGGCAGTTTATTCTCTGCTCCTCTATCCAGACTCATCTGGCATTGACAGCATTCAGGACATTGTTTGAATGCCACTCAATGCTCATCGTGCATTGTCCTGTGCGTTATGTATTTTTCCGCAGCACAAATCACAGGCTCGCAGAATGTGTCAAAAGGCTTTGCGTATGAGCATGAAAAATGGCAAATAACAAAAATAACACAAGTTTATAATTGAATTATGGGATTTGAAGCTTTGAGCGCTGTGACCAAAATAGATTTCAATGTGCACAATAAATACAATTCAATTATTTGATAATGGAAAGCTTTTAGCCACTCAATAATGAATGCACGTACTTAGCAAAGGACTTTTCCCAAACTCAAATTCAATTGCTTATTTCGCTTTTATTTTCAATTTGTTGAATAGAAATTAAGCTGGCAAGGATTTAATTAGTATCTCACTTTTTCTGCTCCGAGAACAAATTAATTCTTAGTTTTAATTATAATGCTTTCGAATGCGGTATTACTGAAACTCTTTTGAGCCATGGATCAGTTTAGGTAGATTAACTAAAACTGCATAAAGCCATTATTTATAAATTATACAAGTCTAATCCATTTAATGCTGCTAATCTGCTCGCTGTTTAAGTACTTTGACTAAGTCGCTTCGAAGCTTACCTAAAACAGTTTTAATTCGATGATATAAAATCAATCTTTTTAAGAACCTGAATGGGGAGTAGTTAGGTAGACAACAAAGTACTACAAATATTCAAAGTCTTTAATTGAATCATATTTTCAAGAATTTCGTAAATGCAAAGCATTTTTCACAATTTTAATAGCCAATTAGAAAATTACTAACATTATTTTGAGCAGGCATTTAATTTTACTGATTGATTCTTTTAAAGAATTAATATTTTAATTCCTGCATATCTATTATATGTTAATGAGCTACGTTAATTACTTTGAAATTCTGTATTAATCGATGTATTAACTTCAATTTTATGTTAAATACATACACAATGCATAAAGTCAAAACATTAAGTGCTCAACTACTTCAAGAGCCATTAAGTTCTGTTAAGCCTTTAGAAAGCCACATTTCAGTGAGTAAATTGGAATTAAATATTGTATTTGACAAGTGACAACCTACCAAATGGAATTGTGTGTTGTTTTCTTGTTTATTTTAACAGTAAAGAGTTAAGCTGTCAATCCACTTTAGACGCTTTCAATGTCCCAACACAAGTTGATACTTGCTCAACGCATTTTCTAGCATACTTATGGGAAATACAAATGGAAATGTTGGAAATGCGACAAATTAAGTGGTATTTGGAAGAATAATTGAGACACAATTCACTAAAACCTTCATAAGAGTTTTGTAATTATTATTTATTGAAAAGGAACCAAAATGTTTACCTAAATATCTTTAAAATCTGTTAGTCCTTGTTGCATAAATTCAACCCAGTTTATGATAGAAATTTCTGCCCTTTCAATGCACACAGGTTTGTTAAAAAATGCAGGCTGAAAAAAAGATGTCTAAAAATTGTGTAAACTTTTTTTTGGAACAAAATATTTTCATGTGTGTGCTGAACTTTTTGGCATTACCCAGAAGCCAGTGTCAGGCCATGCTCAAAATGCAAAAATGTGACAGATAAAGTATTTACCAAGTATGCAGAGGGTTAAAAGCAATTTTAATAACATCACATAACGAGCACATAATTGAATCAAGACCAACTTGTGCACAAAATAAAAAATGTAAATTAAAAATGTATGTGGCATGCTGATGTGTGGATATGAAGAAAGGTGCTTTCTAAATCACTGACAACTTGTGCTTAACTTGTAGCTTTTAACAAGTCCATCAAATTGTTAGCGAACTCCAAAATCTGCACACAAAAACAAATCGCTGGCCAATTAAACGCGACGTCAGTTAATAAATCAATCACAAATCTGAATATTTATCTCAATTGCTGTCTGGCACACAAACACACGCATAAATCAAAGCCATTGGCGGTGGCCACAAAAACAAGCCGCCCAAAACTGAAGGGCGCCAATAAATTGGAGGCCAACAAATGACAACAACAGCAATAATTGGCCCAAATACCGGAAAAAGAGAAAGAGAACGAAACAATAAAAAAAAAATACAACTTTTAGTTGCTGCTCCTGTATGCGTGTGTGTGTGTGTGTGTGTATAAGTGTATAAGCCTGGCTAACCTGGCAGAGCAAACCTTTTGGCCACGTCAGCTTATGTTGGGCCAGGCCCGTTAGCCGGGCAATCTTGGCCAACTGTCGGCTTAGCGTTACATTCAAATTTGTTAGCGTCGATTCTTAGCAAATAATCGAATTGCCTGCCGCGCCCGTAAAAAAGGATTTATGGATTTATTATGAAAACGCGACAATGAACACAACAACATACACACAAAACACTCGACCAACCTGCGGCTTTCATTTGCCAATTTATTAGGCTATTTTTATGACACACACACACACACACACACACACTCACACAGTCTCTCTAACACATGCCCTGATCAGCTCATCAGCAGCTGCCTTAATTTTATATACGAATTTTTCGTATTCTATTTTCCTTCTTTTTTTTGTATTTTCTTTTTTTTGGGCGCCTAATGCGGGCGCTGTCAGCTCAGCACACACACATGCACATCATAGATGGGAGATAAAACTTACACACACACACACACATACACACATCATACAGAGACGCCCACTGGGATCTTAAGCTTTTATAAAATTGTACAACATACATACAATAAAAATAAATAAATAAATATAAAAAAAAAACTAGCTGCCAACTTTTGTGCGTTTGCGTCTGCTTAGCTTTTATGTTAATTTCTTAAGCGCGAGTTTAATTGCTGGGCTTGCTGGCTGGCTGCTGCTGCTGGGCTCGCTGGCCTTTGCTTGTTGGCGGAAATTGAATTGCTGCTGGGCGGCTGCTGCTGCTTGCTGGTTGCTGGCTGCTGCTAACACCTTATGCTGGTGGGTTGCCCCTCAATGCTAAGCATATTGCGAACACACACACGCACACACACACCCGCAGTTGCCGCGCCCCACCGACCCGATGCGAGCGACCTACTCGTTGCGTTAATCAAAACGAGAGCACTGGAAACAGCAATGGCAAAAATGCCGTTGCTACGCACTCACACACATGCATACACCATGGGCAAGCAGCGCTCTCTCTGCCATCACATTTACATTTACAACTTACGTTACAGCGCAAGCTCTCGCGCTCTCTCCGCAAATGTAGCTCTCTCTCTCTATCTCTCTCTCTCTCTCGGGTGTTCGTGTCTGTTTGCGTGCGTGCGTGTGAGTGTGTGTCTGTGTGTGTGTGGCTTATTTGTGCACGCTCAACGTTGACATTTTTGTTGCTGGCTGCTGCTGATGCTGCTGGCTGCTGCTGCTGCTGATGCTGCTGCTGATGCTGCTGCTGCTTCTGCTGTTGATTTTGGCCATTTGCCGCTCCCAAAAGTATGCTTTGTAATTTGTTGTATTGTGCGCGCACATCTTTACTTTACATCAGCTTCAGCGTCGGCGTCTGCGTCAGCGTCGCTGCTTGGCTCAATTCATTTCTGCTTTTTATTTTTGCAAAATTTTATTATACATAATGCGGGCGGCTGCGTCCACGCCGTCGTTCACGTTGACGTTAGCGTCGACGGCGACGTCAACGCTCTGACGCGCTTCGCGTGTGCTGCGCTGCCCAAAAGTTTTTACATTCGGCCTGCGCTTAACATTGTAATCAAATTTATGCTTTTGTGTTATAGATACAAATATATAAACCGATTTTGCATTTACTATGCCAGCCCAATTATCTATTAAAATGTCCGATTCAAACAGCACCAGCTCCACTTAATTGTTTGCGCTTATTATAAAAAATTATTTCTGCGTGTTTGTGTTGTTATTTTTTTTTTGTTTTTTTTTTTATCGCAAATATTTATCCGTGGTCCGCCCATATATAAAATCGTTGCTTTTTTCACGTTGCACGCGTTCACTGACAGCCGAAGCACGAACTGGAGAGCTGGTGAAGAAGCCAAGCGCACGTTGCTAAATCTCGTCCGGGACTGAAGCTGAAAAGCTTCAAGCATATACCTTAACGGTACCTTTCGCTGCGAGAGTAACCCGAACTTAATACTCTCTCTTCGTGTGCGCGCTCTCTCTTTCATCTCATACTCTCGGCTCTGGCCAGTCGGGAGGCTGCGTGTGTGTGTGTATGTGTGTCAATGCTGTTATCTTTCGCATTGTGCTGGAATTTGTGTTTGTTGGGCAACACTGCGAGCATCCTCAGCAACACCCTCAATAATGGCCCCACACAGCCCGGCTAATATATGTGTGGGTGAGCGAAAGCGGAAAAACTGTTACAATGTGTGTGTGTGTGTGTATGTGTGTGTGTATGTGTGTGTGTTTGTATGTGTGTAAGTGTGTGCGTGTGTCGCCTGTGCGTTTCCTTACACTCAGCGCCATTTTCGCTAATGCTCTGGCGAAAAACCCTTGAGCTAGATCATCCTAGATGATTGTTCTACAATTTATGAGTTCCAGTTCATTTGAACTGTGGTCCCCAGAAAATAAATACATACAAATAATAAAAGCAAATATATAATTTAAATTTTGTCGTCATTGTCATTGTTAGTTTCACAATATGTTAATAACATATTACTAGTCAATTATTCACTGCTGAATCATTCAAACTATTATTTATAAAAGCCTTACAAATTTGTATGTCATCTACTATAATTTGTTAATAACTAACACAATTAAAATATAACATACTTTTTATAATTGTTTAATCTAACTGTATGCTTTGTACAGCATTAAAACTTTAAATAGATCAGATTGAGTCACAGTAATTTTGCAGAGTGTATGTTGCCTATTAAGCTGCAATAGAAATGGCAGAATAAAACATGTTAGAAAACGTTAGTTGAGTAAACCGGACTAGAAGATACCCTAAACACAAGTCGTTACGTATGAAAAGCTGGAAAAGCTGGAAAAGTCTTAGATATATTGAAAAACTTGTATTTGAAAAAAAGCTACAAATAAAATATAATTAATTTTATCTGCAGAATATATACATATGTATATATATATATACATATATATATTATAAAGCGTTAATCTTACATAGTCTGTTCAGACAGCCAGGGAGACAAATTGATGGATCGGCTTGGCTTAGCTTTTGTTGATCAAGAGTATATAGTTAATGTGTCGGAAATGCTTGCCTCTGCCTGTTACATACACGTGCACCACTTCGTTATACCCTTGTCAACAATTTTCAATGGGTTCAGGATATAAACACAAAACAACACAACACAAAACTAAATGGAAGAATATGAATGAAAGAGCCGCAAAGCAGCCAAGTGCAGAGTCCAAATGCTCAACGGCTGAACGGGCTGGCAAACAGTCAGCCTAGGCTAACAGTGACTGCCTGGCAAAGGAGGATGAGCCTGTGCCCCGAGGGGACATTGGCTCAAGCATGCTTCTGTGTAACTGTAGCACAGTTGCTGTTTGTGCTCTTCATCAGCCTGAACTGGCAACAGCGGCAGCAACTTGTGTCTCTGAATGGGTCTCGCAGGATTGTGATGGAATGGCGAGCACGATGATGATGCGTGTAGCGGGGTCGCGGGGGCTTGGGGCTTAGGTTTGCTGAGTATGTCTCCTGTTCGCATGGGTGGTGTGAACTAGGCGCTGGAAAAGCGCATTCTCACATTTCAATTAAATAATACCACGAGCGTATTTTAATTTTTTATTTATTTTTGCTTGTCTCTCTCTCTCTCTCACTTTTTCTTTTATTTCTTCACTTTTATTAATAGCAACTCGTGCTGCGCTCAAACAGGACAACAATGGTCGTACCAGGAGCCACTGCCCCCGAGAGCTGGTGTCAGCCGGCAGCTGACATGGCTAGCGGCTATCAAGTGCCCATGGGCACTATCCTACGGGCTCTGCACAAGCAATTCCATTATCATCGTGTGTGTTTTCAACAAAATGCTCAAATTCGGCACAATTGGATAAAAGGCTTTAAGATATGCCGCACATAAAACAAGAGCATAATGTAATCTGACAATAAAATAAAAGACTGTCGATTATCTTATGATTCAATAAGTTTTATTAAATTGCCTCTAGGTTTTCATTGTTGCTTGTGATAACGCATAATAATTTTAATCTGTAGTTTCTGAATTATGGTATTAAATCAATTATAATTTCTGCGTATAAAATATATTACAATGTTGAATAAATTTCATAGCATACTTTTTGGCATTTTATTAATTCAAGTGAGATCAGTTCTGAAGTGTGGGATCAATGTCCTGTTGCATACTTTGGGGGATCCGACTTTTAACATCTGTTTTCTGTTTTAAAAAATGTCATTTTACTTTGATTCCTTGAAGAACTTTCGTTCTTTTTCTTACTTTATTCGAGTCGGCTGGTCAAGGTATCCGTGATCAAAAGGACATTCGGATAGATCTCGAAATGGCAGTTATGCCAGATTTTATAAGTTTTATGAATTTACAGAAGGGGGGACCCTTGTGTCATTTTTGGTCAAATTTTTTGGTCGAACACTGGAAGTCCTTGGATGCAAATCGACAGTAATTCTTCCCTTGAGCTCCAATATGTATATCCTTTTGCGGTCCCTGTGGAAATGGCCCATTATGACTCAAAAACGTACTTCTAGCGCGACCAAGCCCCTACAATTCCTTGGACACCCAAATAAAGGTTGAAATAGTCACGCGTCGGATGTTTTGGAAGTATTTTTTTTATATATTTTCTTGTTTTTATATTAAATTTAGGTTTATATATGTATATATAAAATATATAAGCATAAACGTTTACAAATATAAATATCTTTTATCATTCTCCAGCAACATGCAAGGCCGGGCTCTCTCTTTTTCTTTCTTTCTCTCTCGCTGGTCTCAATTCTCAATTTTCATCTCTCACACATTCGATTGGAGTTTGAATCGCTAACATACAACTATTTCAGATGTGCCACAAATAACTTTTGCTAAACCCTCACATACCATTACATCATAGACTTAAGTATTGTATCTCTGTTTTGTATTGTAGGTAAAGAGTTGCCTGCCTACACTCATCAGTTATGAATAATACATGTGTGTATGTAAGTATTTATTTACAATAGCGATAAAGTCAACAAAAGATCTGTGTTTTGTTTTGTGTTGTGTTTAACTTTTTGTCTATTTGTGTGTGTGTGTGGTTGGGCAACAATTAATATATATATATTTAATTATCTTTATATTTTAAGTAGAATATTTGTTTGCTGCTCTGAATGATCTGCTTCTGCCTGCATATTACGATATCGACATACATCTGTGTATGTGTGTATATAGAAATATAGATATAGCATATGTGTAGAGTTAGTTATAGGGATAGGACATGTACATAGTTGCATATATGATAAGTATGAGTAATTGAATAATAAGTAGGCTAAAATACAATGCAAAAAAAAGTATAATTACGTCCTATGCTTAAAGTTTGACGACACAAATTTTTGCTTTACCCAAAAAACGCGCTGCTTGGCATTTGCTATATAGTATATATACCTATGCATATATATATTCATATATATATTTTATGTATGTACGTATTTATTAGATAAGTGGAGGGGGGAAAAGGGGTACGCCTTTTTTTTAGCATCAGCCTTTTTATAGATGGCTGCCAATTGTTGCATAGCTGCTGCTGCTTCTGCTACTGTTTCTCATCCCTCGGAATAGGAGCTGAGGCTGCTGCGTGTGGAGCCCGTGAAATGATCGCGCTGCAATGTATCCGTGGGCACAGAGACTATCAATGCGCCGCCATACAGCGTCTCCATCTCATCCAGCTGCTGGGAAAATGTCTCCTCCAAACGCTGTCAGCCGCAAAAAGGTAAACAATATAAACTTGAATTAATACAGTTTTCAATTTGTAAACATTTCAAATCATACGCAATAACATTTTGAAGCACACAACAACATCCAATAAGTGTCTACTACTAAAGCAAACTAGATAAGTATAAGTATAAGTATATATTTATAAATATTTTATATTTTGAGCATGCATTTTTTTAATCATAATAAGTAGAGTCTACAAGAGAGAGTTTAGATAGTTATAGATAGATAGATAGTATAGAGTTAAGAGCTTTTGGGCCCATAGACTAACCTCTTGTTGCAGCTGCTGTTGTAGTTGCTTTACGAATAGTAGAAGAGAAGTGCCGGCAAGAAAAGGTTTTGTTTTTGAACATAATTTTGATTGTGTTGTGGTTTTGGTTTTCTTTTTTTGTATAAATATATTAAAAGCAGCGCGTTGTTTGTTGTTGTGGATGTATTTTGTTTGTTTTTTGAGTGAGTGTGTGTGTTTATGTGTATGTGGAAGTATGTGTGTGTGTGTACAGTGAAGCATCATGAATATGAATATCAATGTATACATAGACATTTATATAGTAGGATTATAGTAGTTAAGTGTAGTATGCTTGGCATCCGGATAAGTATTATTTTACTATTATTTTTTAGATTTATTTGCATCTTTTTTTTTGTTTCTTGGTAGCTAAGTACTTTTCTTTGTTTTTTGTAATACTGCTAAAATGGAATGCAACGGTTGCGGGGGCGGTCTTAAACAATGTTATAACTGGCATAATAAATAGTCGAACAATTTATTATCATTATTTTCAGTTAACAACAAAAAAAATTAATAATAAATAACTTTGGCAAATTATTGTTTTAATGGCAATTATACAGCGTTTCGAAAAAAGTAGGGAGCAGATGTAGTTAGAAGTAGTAGTAGTAGTAGTAGTGGGCAAGAGAGTTAAGATAGATTATTAGTTCAAGTGATATGTGTTCTAGAGCACCATAAGCAAGCAGTAAGGATGAAGGATATGAAGCGCAGTTTATGCTAGAGTCAAGAGTGTGTGTTAAGGAGACGCTGCTAACATGAGGCGAGTGCGAAGAGTAAGCATTTGTTTCTTGTTTTCATTTGATTCTTGCTTTTGTATTTGTTTTTCTCTTTTCTTTTTCTGTCTTGTTTTAAGTATGCGGGGAAGCACTTTGAAAGGAAGCTGCTCAGGCGGCTTTATTATTCTCGTCTAGGCTGAGCTGGCGCTGAGTAATGCGCGGCAGCCTATATTTAGCCGCGTACAAATCTTGGTAGAAATCATCTGTGGTAGCACTGCCACCATTCGGGGTCGTCTTCAGCGTGGAGCGCAGCTGCGGCTGCACCTCATCCAGCAAGGCGGCCGCCTTGACTCCCGAATCGAATATCAGCTCCGCATCGCTGCAGTAGCGCGTCGAGCTGCTCAGCTCGTGCATATTGTACATGGACTGGGCGCTGCTCAGCGAAGAGCGACCGCTGCTGTGGCGACTGGCGAGCGAGGGTCGCTTGATGGCAAACGAGGTCGAGTGCAGCAGGCGCTGTGTGCGTGCCGTCAGCACGGGACCCTCGTGTATGCGCAGCTCCACGGGATCTGCGGGACGACCAAAGCGATGCGTCACCAGTCCCAGCTCATCGGGTGTCTTCGGTGGCGTTGTTGGTGTTGTTGTTGCGCTGCTCTGCTTGAAGGTGCTCATTGCTGGCTTGCTGTTTGCCTCGTCGGCGCTGTTCAGCTGCGGGGTGCTGGTGACCACCTTGACCAGCTCATTGCTGGGCGGCTGTTTGATGATCAAACGCAGTTCACTTGCTGCCGGCATGGCAGCAACACTGGCACGTTTCAAGCTCTGCTCCCTCTCGTCATCCTCCTCCTCCAGCACCAGGTCGCTGCGCATCTGGGCCCGTTGATGTTTATGCATGATCGGAGTGCTTGGCACACTGCGACTCAGATCGGGCGCCGAGCCACGGAAATTAGCTCGACCAGCGACGCCGCCAAGCATCAGAAGCGAAGAACGCGACCTGGGCACCTGTTGCAACTCGATGAATGTGTTGCGTGGCAGGAAACGCGCGGAGCGCTCACTGAAGATGCCACGCAAACGGACGGGCAGCTCCACATCAAGATCCTCGAATTCGCTGCGATTGGAGACAAGACCGTGTCGCCGCTCATGTTCATCAATAGCAGCGCTAACCAGCAGATTCAGTCGCTGATTCGGTTTTTGGGGTTCAGTTTGTTTTTGTTTGGTTGTTTGTTTGTTAGCAACACATGCAAGCCCGAGAGAGTCGATTTATTTGTTTGGTTAGTAGAGTTTTGGAAAGCACAGCGGTAAGCGTTTGTTTTTTGTTTTTAAAAAAACATATTTAAATCATTATTATTATTATTATTATGTTTTTGTAGTTTTGTAGTAGATAGTAGGTACAGTAGTAGGCCACCAAAGTGTATGCATTTGCGTGGAGGGGTGTAAAGAGAGAGAGAAAAGTTGATCAAAATATATATAATTTGATTTGGTTTTGGGCTCGTTGCATTTGCTTCTTGCTCTTCGATTCCGCAAACTCAAAACGTTTTTGGCCTCGAGCAATAATCGCATCTCTTTGATATTTAACTAATATTATTTAAGAGTAATAATAATTTATAAACACTGCAATCTATTTAAAGAATTACTTTATAACAAAGCTTGTTGATATCAGTATTTTAACTTATCAGTTTCAATTGTGTACTCGTTAATTTTCAATACTAATTCCAATTAGCATATCTTCGATATCTTTACGACAGGCGCTTGTTGAAAAAAATGATGTCATTGAAAAAGGTGTGTTAGTAATACAATTGTTATCGCTATCTTTACTGCACCTGCTAGATATGGTGCATAAGTCATATAGGCCACGAAATGTCCGATTATTGCTCAACTTTTGCTGCAAACGTTGTGACGTTTGGCAGAATGGGCATGGGGCAGAAGCAGGGGCAGAGGCAGAGGCTGAGGCAAAGGTTTAATGGGGAGCACAAGACACCACAACAAAATACCACCGTTAACCAAGAAATATGCTTAATATTTACAACCGTATTAAAAATTAAAACTTACAATCAATTCAAATAAACTACGCACAACTGTACAAAAACACAAAACACCAACAAAAATGAGGCGAATAGCTTCGTTTTTATTTTTTTTGACAAACTAGCCCTGCTTTGGGTTGGTTTTTCTTTGGTGGGGAGGCAAGGGAGGAAGGAGGGAGAGGAGGGAAAAGAGAGTGAAAGCGGCACTAAACACCATTGGGGATACACACCTGTTTGCGTGGCACCAACTGCTCGCGCCAATCGCGCAGCTCGGCCTTGAGGCGCTCATCGATCTCCGAGAGCTTGGCATGCTCATGCTCCACGAGTGCCTTGCGCTTCTCATTCTGCAGCTGTTCGAGTTCTCTGTGTGGAGTCGAATATATTGATAAGTTAAAGTGACCCTTTCGATCTGCAAGTGTAGAACTCACCTAATGGCGCTTTCACGTGTGGCGCGCAGCTCCTCCAATTGCTTCTGGTGCTTGACCTCGAAGCGACGCTCTTCCTGCATATAGCGTTTCTTCTCCTGCTCTTGGAACTGTAAGGTACAAGGCAATTAAGACAACTCAATCAAATGGAAACAGTAACTGAAACTCACTTTCTTCAAGCGATCACGCTCCATGTCCGGATCCATGCTCATGGATATGCGCAACGATTCGCGGAACATGAGGTCACGTGCCTTGCGCTCGGCTCGAATGCGTTTGGGCAAGGCGCGCTTCTCGAGAGTTTGCTTCTTGAGCAGATCCTCCTCCTTGCGCTGCAGCATGCGCTTGACTTGATCGAGCTCCTTCTCGTGCCGAATGATCATCTGGTGGCGCTGCATAAAGCACAACTCCTTCACATGCCGCTTGGACAATTGATGGCGTTCGTGCAGCTGCTTCTCCTCCAGCTCCCAGAGCAGAGCCTCGCGCGTGCGCATCGCATTCTGTTTCTGCTGCAGGAAATTGCGATTGATGGTGGCCAAATGATCGCGATGCTTCTCGCTGAGCCGACGCAGCAACAGCTCGTGTCGCTCCTTGAGCGAATCGAGAAATGAGCGCTCCTTCTCCTCGTGGTCCAGTTCCATGGCGGTGCGCCGCTGCTTGAACTCATCCTTGCGCTTGTCTTTGGGAAACAGATCGACCTCCTGCTTGAGCAGACGGATCTCCTGCTTAAGATTCTCGCGGAATATCTTCAGCTCCTGCTCCTGCTCGGACCGAATGCGTTTCGACGAGCTGCGCAACTCATTCTCCTGCGTCTGTTCGGTCTTCTCGATCAGCTGCTTGTGCTGACGCGCCAGCGTATCCATATCCGCTTCGTATGTCTTCTCCAGCGAGACGCGCTCCTGGTCGAAGCGGCGATCCTGCTGCTCCTTGGCCATCTGCTCCTTCTGCTGCAACTCCGTCTGCTGTTTCTTCTCCTGCTTCTGCAGCATTTTCAGTTCGCGCAGCTCCTGCTTACGGAAATCATGATCGTCATAGATGCGCCCGTTCTCCTCATCCCCGTAGATCACACGACTGGTCGTTGTGGTCATTTGTACGCCATCGATTTCAAATTTACGCGTACGCTTGCGCGTCTTCTTGCGCAGATTGCGCAGCTCGATCTCCTCCTTGGTGAGCCCGGCCGACTTGGCCGAGGCGGGCACACGGGGTTTCGTCCTAATGACCACCACATCTGCTGCCTCCTCTTCCTCGTCAATGGCGAGCGCAAGACGATTGTTTGTCACCGATGGCGGTGGTGGTGGCATCATGGATTGCTGCTGCTGCTTGTTGTCCACCTCGGTGGGACTGTCCTGACTAGTGTTGGTGCCAATGCTGTCCGCATCTCCGCCTCCGCTGATTATCTGCACCTCAACGCCCCGTCTGCCGCGCACCGAGCCATTCTCGCTGGACCCAGAGCCCAGGCTGCTGTCCGGTGAGATGCGTTTCTCATGCTCCTGGCCGGGTTTAAAGCGATTCACTATAATATTAACATCCTCCGGCACAATGCCATTCGGCTGCGACTGTTGCTGTTGGCGCTTGTTTGGCTGCTGATTGCTGCTATCCTTGACCCGGATGACCTCGTCGCCAACTGTCACAACAGACACATGGCTGGTGTCCATCAGCTGATCACTGTGATCATGACTGCCCGATGCCGTATTATATGCCGAATCATCGTCCGCATACGAGGGACTCACAATCAGTACCTCGCTCTCGTCCAGCTTGCGTGCATGAACAGCTGCTGCGGCGGCGGCGGCAGCTGCTGATCCTCCTCCATCTTGACGCTCATTGACGCTTAGTATCATGGATGATTGCTTCACCTGATCCCCGAGGCTATCGTCCAGCGAGGGGAAGTCATCATCGGTGGATGACTCGTGCAGATGTGTGCTCTTATTCAAATCATTCGACACAATGATGACCTCATTCTGTGCCGTATTATCGATGATCACCGGCGGATGCGTGCTGGTCACAACGGTGATTTGACTAACCGACTCCAGGCTATTCGGCAGCACCAGGTGCTGTTCAGGCGGCGGTGGTGGTGGCGGCGGCACCGATTGCTGTTGACGCGCAGACGGCGATGCATCGCTGCTATTGATGGTTATCAGCGATGTGCTGGAGCTTAAAATGGCGCCCATAACACTGCCCGAACTGCTGGAGGCCACCGAATGCACCGAAATTGTGGACGAGGCGGTGGGCGATGGGGGCTGCGGCTTGGACTCCATGGCATCTTGGCCAATGGTCACTTCAATGGCTGTTGTCGGCTCCGGCTGTCGCTTGGGCGATGCTCCTCTCTCCACATCCGTTTGTGGCTGCTTAGCACTGGCAGCAGCAGCAGCAACGGCAGCGGCAGCGGCAGCTGAGGCAGCAGCAACTGCTGATGGCGGTGGTGGCGCTTTGCCCTTCTCCTTTTTGACAAAGTGCTGCTGCAAGTGACGACAAATACAAAACATATGGTTGCGATTAGAAAGGCAGGCGTAATTATAGCATATAAGTTTGCAACAAGATTGTCAACAAAAAGAAGTGGCGACTCACCTTTTTGTCTGCATCAGACTTTTCATTTGTTTCGGCAACATCTTCAGTTGATTTTTGTAGCACAGCTGCAGCTGCTTGGGGCGATTGTTGTTGCTGCTGTTGTTGTTGTTGTGGCGATGGCGGCGCTGGTGCGGGCACTTTGGTATGCGGCGCTGCTGTTTCGACCACTCCTCCAGGCACTTGGTCCTGTAGCTTGCTCTGGTTTGGTTTGTCTGGTGTTGTTGCTTTAGTTGTTGCTGTAATTGTAGTTGCTGCTGCTGGTGCTGCTGCTGCTGCGACTGCTGCTGCTGTTGTTGGTAGACTGCTACTTGGTTGGGATTGCTCTTTGGAATCCCGCGATATGGATGTAGGTGTACCTGGAACTGCATACATATCGAGTTAAATAAATAAAATAAATCTGAACTCATCACTCAAGTGCAACTTACGTTTGTCAATGTCTTGGCTCTGCAGCGAGGCAGAATCATCGTCCAGGTCGAGCTGGAGCGCCGAGTTGCGGGGTTCCTGTGCAAGAAAGTAAAATACAATCATTAGCAAATACTTTAACAGCTGGCACTGAATTTCCTAGCACTGTTTACAACTACTATTATTTACTTTTAGGTGATGGCTAAAACAATTTGCTTTATATTTATGTTTACATAGATATTTATTTATTTTAAGAAGTAGGCTTCCCCATGAAGCTCTGTAACGCTTTTACTAATGCTGTTACTAACGCTTTATTGTTCCATTTATAGACTTGAAAACAGGTCAACAAGTATTAAACTATCGTGAATGCATTAATGTTAATATATGTCAACATAAGCAGGGGCTTTCTAAAGAATTTAAGTGTGTTATCAATGTCTAAAAATATGAAAAGATAGCATCTGCTAACTGAGTCAACAATTTATAAAAGAGATTGTACCTAGAAATCAATGAATATCAACGAAATCTCGTCGAGATCCGTGAAAAATAAATCAAACTCAATTAAAAGACAGCTCGCCGAAATATCAGTGATACGATAATTATCTATAGTTAGCCTATTAATTTTAATCAGATTAATTATTGACGATAAGAAATGAGCAATAAGTTTGATAAACAAAAATACATGGAACTCGTATGATAAAATTCTGAATATAAATATATATATATAGTTGTATGTATACAATAGCTAAAGATTGCTTTTAAAATCTACAATGTGTATGTGACCTCCAAACAAAAGCAAACCAAAAATACAGAAGTAGCAACTTGACTGCAACTACATGAAGCAAAGATAAACATATTTGGCAATGCTGATAAAAAAAATAAGTAAAATAACTTGAATAAAGTGGAGCGTGCGATAGAGGAGGCGGTCACTGACAGGGCGGGAGGAACGGCTGACTGACTGGGTAGCTATTTGGCTGCAGAACGACTTACCAACCCTCTGATAGAGCGAGCGCCGCTTCACCTGGCGCTTAAGCTTCTAAATCAATTGCAGACAATCGCACACACAAAATAATAAACGAGTGAAGAAGAAAACAAATTTTACGTATAACGATAAGAACTCAACATGGCCGACAATTGACGGAGAGTATAAAGTAAATAAATGAAAAGATTTATCGCAATGTGCAAAAATATGTTGGTTTTTTTTTTTTTTGGTTTTGTTGAGTTTTTGTTTTTTTTTGGAGCGAGGAGGCAGCGTGTAAGAGAAAATTGTACAAAGAGAGAGAGTTAGTATCATCTCTAGCTCTGGCTGTATTACAGGTGCATATATTGTGCTGGCAACAACAGGTAGTGTCAATAAATTGAAATGATAACTAACCTCAGCCTCATCATCGACGACCTCCTCGACAACCTCGGCCTTGTACTCGAGCAGCAGATCCTTAATGGGTTTGGCATCCAAATTGCGGCTAATAAAACCATGTTGCAGCAACACTTCCGTTGCCGGACGCAGCTGTGGATCCTACAAAACAAAATAATACAGTTTGTTAAGTTTTATGATGTAACTAATTGGAAACACTTTCAATATCGCACCTTGACTAAAGACTTTTTAAGAAAATCGTTGAATTCCTTGCTCCATCTGCTCGGCTGCTCCAATTTGGGCGGTTCGCTCTTTTGTATCTTGAGCAGGACGCGCATTGGCGACATTTCGCTATTCGGTGGCTCCATTTGCGCCAGCTCAATAAGTGTTATGCCCAGGGACCAAATGTCCACCTTGTGATCATACGGATTATCGCGAAACGTTTCGCACAGCACCAGCTCGGGTGCCATCCAATAGGGCGTACCGATGAACGTGTCGTGCTTTTGCATCGTGTGCTTATTTTTGGCCGACACACCGAAATCAGCTGCAAAAACAACAAAGCATTGCAAAGCAAAAAGGTCAATTAGTTTGGATTACGACTTAATTAATTTAGAGCTGCGTACCCAGCTTGACGCCACCCTCCATGGTGAGCAGCACATTGCCAGCCTTCAAATCTCGATGTATGACCTTGTTCTTGTGTAGAAATGTCAGGCCCTCAGTCATATGCTTGCACACATAGGCAATTTGTGGCTCGGTTAGGGGCTTCTCCAGCTCCACCATAATGCTGTCCAAGGCGCCGCCGTCACAATATTCAATAAGCATCTAATACAACGAATTCAAATTAAATATATATAAACATTTTCCGGGAATGCTAAAAGCTAAACTTATTTTCATCGTTATCTTGTAATTTTTTTATTTAAAATAAATGAAATATTCTAAATAATTTAGATAATCTACCATATATATAAATAAAATTCACTAAATAATTTATATATGTACTAATTATGTGAATAATTTAGTTTATAATATAATATTTATATAATTTATTTAGTTTATATTGTGCTATTTAAATAAATTATTTAGTTTATTTCATTTTAAAAATTCAAGAAATTCCATTCGCAATCGCAATTATTTAAATATTCAAATTACATTCTTATATTTCATATCTTGTTAACATGAAATGCATTTGCAAAGTACTCGACTGAATCACTTGTAAATACTTCTAATATACAAACATATGAACTGGTATGTGGTATATGATGTGATGAATGACTCACCCACAGTTTGTCATCTATCGAGAATGCCTCGTACAGTTCAACAATATTCGGATGTTTAATTTCCGAGAGTATATCGATTTCGACCATGTGATCGCTGAGATTTTCCTCATCTTCGAGCGTGCACATTTTGGCAGCGGCAAAGCGTCTGTGCTCCTTGTGCTGGGCCTTGTAGACCTTGCCGAAGGCGCCGTCGCCCAATTCACCGACCATTTCCCACACTTCCGCCGGATCCGTTTCCATTTTGATGTTGTTGTACAGGCGTTTCTTTTTGGCATCGCCGCCCCCGCCCAGGTGGAAGACCTTCTTCAAATTCGTTATAAAGGACATTTTGGGGCTTTGTTCAACTTTTGGTTGACTCTCTCTCTCTCTCGCTCTCTGCTGTTGCTTCTTGCACAAATTGAATTTATGAAATTTTTTGTAGTTGTGGCGCCTTCTGTTCTACATGCTGCAAGGAGCGCAGTGGCAACCAGCCAGGTTTTAAACTCGATTTGAATTTGGTGAAAGCTGCGTAACAACGACAACAACAACAAGAAGAAAAGCAAACACATGCATCATTGATTGAGCTTGAGTTTCATTGATTGATTCGAGCTTTGCTAACTGCTCTTTTTTCATCTTTTTTTGTCTAAATTTAAAACTCTCTCGTTGCTCACCTGCTTCTTCTCCTTCTGTTCTGTGTGCTTCTTCTTCTTTGTCACAGTAGTTCGAATGGAAATGGGCCAAAGCAGCGCTGCCTAGTTTGGGGTCGTGGGTTTGGCTTTGGCTTTGGCTCTTGTCTCACGACTCTCGTCTCCTGTCTCTTTTCGCTTCTGTATGTTTATAATTTAATTAGCAGCTCGCGAGCTCTAATATTTGTACACCACATAGAAAGAAACACATACGAATGGCTGGAAAATGATTACAAACGAGAAAAGTAAAAGACGTAGACAAAAAAGAGCGTAAAACGACTGTCTGTGTGTATAGTGTGTACAAGTGTGCGTGTGTGTGCATTTGCATGTGTATGCGTGCGTATATGTCTACCGAGCTGAGGCTGAGTCTCTGCTCGCTTGCTTGGCTCTTCTTCTTCTTGTTGGCTTTGGCTTTGGTCTTCGTCTGCTTTTCTTTCGCATTGACAGTTTTTTGGCACAGGCAGCAGCCAGCTTTGGCTATAACCGATACGATAAACACATGAATTTAAGCAATGCAAACACACAATTTGTAAACAACACGCGCGCACTTTGAAGCTGAAGCCTCAGCTTCAGTCCGAGTCTCAGCCTCGTTTTACAGTTGCTCATTGATGATTACGCCGCGGCCGCCCATCAAACTGGGCGTGTGTATTGGTGTGTTCGAGTTTATGTGTGTGCGTGAAACTGTAGACGAACGCAGCAAGCGACGGTAGCTAAAAACAATTACCTCATCGTCGCATCACACTCATTTTATCATATCAGTTGGTTATACACAACAACGCACGACTAACGCGCCCAACGAATTTTATGGCATTACTAAAATTTTCGCTTAGATAAAAAAACGTTTTGCACTCAGATTGCTAATTGCTTTGGATATTTTGTCAATTTCTCTCGCGCAACGCCAATCAGTGTGACCAGTTATTGCACTATAGTCAGCGACGATATGGCAACGCGCATTCTCCTATTCTACTGACCAAAATGGCGATTAGCGTGTGAGAGAGGAACACAACCGGTGTGCGTGTGTGCAGTGCCGCCAAGGCAAAACAGAAACAGCAATTCACAACTACTACACATTCACGCCAAGTATATAACGACAGCGGCCTACCAACTAGCATTAAACTACTAACACTAATAGTTTTATTGTTGCCTCAGCGCACTAGTAATTATTAGTAATAATTTCACAAATAAAATTTGCTATTCTTAATCAAATATATCGATATATCGACGTTATTTTAAGTTTTTGGTTGCGAGTATAATAAATGCTTAATTGTTGTTGCATAAAGCATGCATATATCGATAGCTGATGGAAGAATAGTTGAATATGTATCGAATCATCGCACTATGCAATGAATCGATGTAATAGCCATCACTAGCCACACGTCAGAAGAGGAAGAATTTGCTTGTCATTTCGGTGTTTCGCTCAAATTGTTACTCGCAACAAATAACATTTTGTTGCAAAATTGTCGCAAGTACGTTTTGCAAATAAGACAGAAGCATAGCACGCTGTGCGTAGCATATTTTGCCCAACAAGCACAACAACAACAAACAAAAATACAAAATGCCGTCGCTGGAAGTAAGCGTAAACAAAGTGATTGTCCATCCTCTGGTTCTGTTATCGGTTGTGGACCATTTCAATCGCATGGGCAAAATTGGTAACCAGAAGCGTGTCGTTGGCGTCCTTCTGGGATGCTGGCGCTCCAAGGGTGTCCTTGATGTGTCTAACAGTTTTGCAGGTGAGTAGCAAGCATTAAAAAAAAAAAACTATATATAATCAATAATCAAAAACTATTTTTTTCAGTGCCTTTTGATGAGGATGACAAGGATAAATCGGTTTGGTTCTTGGATCATGATTATCTGGAGAATATGTATGGCATGTTCAAGAAGGTCAATGCACGTGAACGCGTGGTGGGCTGGTATCACACCGGGCCGAAGCTGCATCAGAATGATATAGCCATAAATGAGCTGATTCGCCGCTATTGTCCCAACTCAGTGCTCGTCATCATCGATGCCAAGCCCAAGGATCTGGGTCTGCCCACAGAGGCGTACATATCCGTTGAGGAAGTGCACGACGACGGTTCGCCCACCAGCAAAACTTTCGAGCATGTCCCCAGCGAAATTGGCGCCGAGGAGGCGGAAGAAGTGGGCGTAGAGCATTTGTTGCGCGATATTAAGGACACTACGGTGGGCAGCCTGTCGCAAAAAATCACAAATCAGCTGATGGGCCTCAAGGGTCTCAATGCCCAACTGCGCGATATTAAACAGTATCTGCAGCGTGTCGGTGATGGCAAAATGCCCATCAACCATCAGATTGTCTACCAACTGCAGGATATATTCAATCTGCTGCCCGATATTACCAGCGATCAGTTCACGGGCACAATGTATGTGAAGACCAACGATCAGATGCTCGTCGTCTATTTGGCTTCGATGGTGCGTTCGATAATTGCGCTGCATAATCTGATCAACAATAAGCTGGCGAATCGTGATGCTGAGGAAGGCAAGAAGGTTGTCGAGGGGGCTGATAAGGATGGCAAGGATAAGAATAAGGATAGCAAGGATAAGGAGAACAAGGATACTAAGGATAAGGATACCAGCAAGGACAAGAAGTCCGATGAGAAGTCCGACAAGAGCAAGGACGATGGCGGCAAGAGTGCTAAGAAATAGGAACGAAAGAAAAAACGCAAATCACGTCGCAAACGCAAGAAGCAGCAGCACTAACAACAGCAACAGCAAAAACAACATCAGGCGACATAAACAGCAAACCATTTTTTGGCCACCTCAGCGTCCAGGGATTCATATGTCAACAGAAACCGTGGCGAAATAATAGCTCACATTATATCTCTTCATAACACATGATTCACACTTGAATATCGTACATGGCTATATGCATATATATATATATATGTATGGATACACACAGCGAGATCATATTTTAACTATTTTTTGTAGCTATTTTAGTACGCTAAAAAACAAAGTAACCAGCAAGTTGATGTAATTAAAATTTAAAACTAATTTAAAACTTACCGGCGAATGTTTCATTTAAAAAAAATTATTATAGAAAGCTTCGCTCAAACTACAATTGAAACAAACAAATTGGAATTGCAGGGTGCCTGGAAAAATAAATATATATATTATCAATGCAGAGGGAAGACCAAACTAAAACGACCATTGGCAGTGGCAAATTGAGGCCTACTCCGTTAAAATGAAACATTTGTTTTCTCATTGGCTTTTGGTACTACCAAAATTATATTCAAATCAAAAAGATTACAAATCGAAAAACAATTGTAAATGGCTGTTCTACAATTGTTTTTGAAAGGAAGAATACGATATATCATATATCTCTATATATGTTGGCTTACATATGCATTGTACAGGGTGTTCTTAACAAGTTGAGCTAAGTATTATTTATCTTGCGATATTGCTATTTAAAAAGCATTTGTTACCAATTTACTTTCACAATATACAATTATTTAACTTAATGCTAATTCCAAATAAACCAGCTTGAACTATTTGATTTTCGGCGATACTTAATACATATTTGATTTTGCAACGAGCAGCAATTTAACATGATATAAATTTATGTATTTGCTTGTTATTTATGGTAAGTTTTAGATAATGGATTATACGCGTATTTAGGCTAGTTCAAACAATGAGTTCTTTGCAAATTGTGCACTAACAACTATAATTACGATAACTTCATACGATAAATACTTGCAGTAAAAAAAAAACAAAAGCTGGCCCAAAAAAAAAATGAGAAATGAAAAATCCGCAAATGGCTGTTTTGCAGAGTTTTCGAATGGAACGATTGCAACTTCTCATTTGATTCTTTTTGCTTACAATAGTGTGGTTTTTTGTAAACTTTAAACCAACCACTCACTGGCAAGTGGAAACTTGAGCGGCTTGCAGCGGCTGATCATTCGGGCGCAGTTATTGTCCTCGGCAGCAGTTGTTGGATTGCTTTGGTAGCTTTTCTCGTTGACCGAGCCGAGACTTAAACTATGGCTAAGACTAGCACTAGCACTATATGTAATAATATCATTGCTATTCTGTAAGTTTGTGTGTGGCCGATTATCCTCCTTCTCCTTCATCTCCTTCTTCTCCGTATCATCATCCAATCCATCTGTCTCCATATAGCTAAGATTATTTGTGTGGTAAGCGTAGTAACTGTTGAAATCTAGCAGCTTATTATTGCTGCTGTCAACTTCTGTTTTTTGTTTAGCTTTTGCTGACGTTGCTGTTGTTGTTTTAGTTGGTGTTAAGCTTTTACAATTCAAATTATAGATATTTATGTTGGTTTTGCTGGTGTGTATATTCAAGTGGACAGCATTGTCATGTCACACCGAAGTGCCCTGCTGGCCCGGCACCACCGAGCCACAGCTCTCGTCCGGCTTAAACGTCTCCTGCAACCGCTGCTTACAATTCCCCTTGGATGCAAAGAAGAACTTGTATATCATATACATGGGTATGCACATCACCGATGAGCACGTGACAGCCCAGCCCACCTGGGTGCTCCATGGTGGATAATAAAACTCCTCGCCCAGCATTTCCTTGTAGCCCAATATCGAGAATATAAAGATGGTCTGCAAAAGCATATAATATTTAATTGATATCATTTGACATTTGTAACTTGAACTTACCAGTAGAAACACTGGACTAATGTACGTCCAACAGATGCGCCAGAAGAGACCCGGCCTGGAGCCCAACATTTGCTCCACATCGTCGCTGAAGCGATCAACGCCATAAAACCAAAATACGCCAGCTGCTTCCACAAATACCACAAAGAGTATAGCCAGACCGGGTCCGTAGACATTCAAAAAGTTGACCAAAACAACTCCGCCCTGAAAAACAAGATTGGCATCGATAAGAAAATATGATTAATGCAGTAAATTACCACAGGTCTGAGTTAGGATTTGCTTAATAGGAAAGCAATAGTTTTGTTGTTTACCAATTGGAAGGAAACCGAAGTCAGAAATGCTTTATTTACATGTTGTTGTATATTTATTGAGATAACTTGCAAAATAAATCTGAACATTAAAATAATATATTCAATAAGTCTTATTCTATCATAACAAAACCCAACTAGGAAAAGAAGGATGCGAAGAAATGGATGCAGTTGTGTTTGATTAATGGATGCAGATGGAGTTGCCGGTTAAGATATGCATAGAAATGGAATAGCTTGATCCATTTGACCGATACTCCAAGGCAAGTGACCAAGACACAATATATATATATATATATACATGTGGAAGATACTAAATTACAATTTCAAATGTAATCAGACAAAGTGGCAAACGTTCGGACAAGTGTTTGGCCAAGAGCGAAAGCCAACAACAACTGCTTGGCCCAGCCGAAAGGAAGCAAGTGAGCTGACAGGTGATAAAAATGCAGGAGAAAAGGATGTGGGGGACGGGAGGAGGGGTAGATGAAAGGAAGCCACTTGACTGGAGACTAAGTAAGTATGTGAGATTAACTGAAGGTACGATAAAAAGCACTTAACATGGCAATCCATCGTTTTTTGCCTCAACTAAACTGGCATATTTAAACAGTTATCCGACTGACTAACTGCCTAACTGACTGACTGGCAGACTCGAAGACAATCGCCAGTCATCGCAGTAGCTGCGTTTAATGAGCCATGTGTGATGTTCATGGGGGGAAGTTTGCTATCCTTAAACCTACCAACCCATGCATATGGAGCAGCTTGAGTTCTCGCACTTAACAGTTAATTAAGCGAATCACTTCGACTGATAGATAGATAGCGTTAGCCAAGTTACTTACATAGGTCATTGTGGGCAACGCACACAGGAAAATGAAGGCGAGCAGCAGCAGCACAAACAACTCTCGGCGTCTTCCAATCACACGTGGATACTCGTCACAGAGAGCCGTTATCATCGCCTCCAGTCCACCAAATGTGCTGTCCAATCCCAGCGTGATGAGCATTAGAAAGAATATAATGCTCCAGAAGACAGAGCCACTCATCGTTGCGATGGCCTCGGGATAGACAATAAAGACGAGTCCCGGGCCCTCTAAGCCCACCTTATCAATCGAGGTTTTCTGCACAAAGGCCATGTAGCTAAATGGTAAAGGTTAATAGCAATATTGATTCAATTACTATATAGATAAGACTAATAGATAATACATTATATATAATTTATTATTGATTATTTATTTTTATCACTTTATTTAGCATAAGAACTTACCCCAGCACGGAGAAGATAACAAATCCAGCCAGGAAGCTAGTCAGGCAATTAATGCTGCTGGTTATGAGCGCATCCCTGTAGCAATTGTTATTAAATTTATTGTAGCTGGACAAGGCAAGTAGGGTGCCAAACCCAGGACCCAGCGAGAAAAATATCTGCGAGGCGGCATCGATCCAAACTTTGGAGTTCTTCAACTTATGCCACTCCGGAGTCAAATAATACTTGATGCCCTCATCGGCGCCGGGCAAAGAGACACCGCGCACCAACAAAATAATGAGCACTACGTAGGGCGCCAGGGCGGTAACCCAGACGACCTTTCCCGCACTACGTACACCTTTCCACAGCGAGAAATAAACAAGGACGAAGACGCCAAAAACACAGAGCGCCAATGTGGGCTTAACTGGGCCCATGAAATCCAAACCATTGCTCTTATAGCTCTCCAATACCTGTCGTCTGTATGATTGAGTAATATATATATAAAGCTATATAAGTATATATATATATAACAGTTATATGGAACTTACTCAAAAAACTCCTTGGCTGGCGATGTGGCCAGTTCTGTGAAGTTCTCGTTGGTCACTGGCATACAGTTTTGTGTGTTCCATGGATTATCGCATGACGTCCATGGCAACTTGGAGGTAAATGAGGCAAATAAATAATAAACCGCCCATCCAATAATTGTATTGTAGTACATCCCCATATAGATGTCGATCAAACAAATCGCATAGCCAACACCTGTCCATGGATAGGGAAGTATCTTTTAGACATGGTTAACCAAACTTTAACTCACTAAAAGCAATATTAATTTATACCCCATGTTTATTTGAACACACAAGTTTCATTAAGAAATCATGTTAAATTTCTAAGTTTCATGACAACATTTAAATTCTTAAAACAAAACACGTTTTTTTTTTATCAACAGGTATCCATTGTGAGTGTGTGTGCATCATGGGAATGCCAATCTCTGATTGATAACGATGAGAAAAATCATCAAGTTGAAATATTCCCACGTGACATTTTACACATTTCTGCTTATTGGGTCGGACAGAGGAACGAACAAATGGATAACTGAGATGTCTTTATGGATTCTGCTACCAGGTATCTATCTATGCACCACCACACACCAGCACACCACCCCTACACCACCCCTTTCACCCCAACGCCACTCTAACAGTTCACTTGATGATGCCAATAAGACACGTCACGTGATTTTCAGTTGGTTTTGTGCTCTGCTTTCCTTTATTCAAACATTGCCACAAGCACAAGTTAAGTGGGATATTTTCAAGTTGATTTCGAGGGCGGCATAGTGAAGCTATTTGCTTGGCAGATATTTCTTTTAAAAATGTGTTTAGTTTTTAGTGTACAAATTTGGAGGCTTTCCATTTAGATGGAAGACTACTTTGAGAGCTAGCTACTGGGCATCTAAGAGTCAAGCACTCGTCACTTAAACGCTTCTGGTTGTTTTTTTTTTTCTTTTTTTGCATCGTTTCTTTTCAGTTTTAATCGCCTGGCAGAAAGTTGGCGCAAAGGTTTCGCCGAGCAAACACTTGTTGAGCAAATGATGGGCGGCCACAAAGTAATGTTTGCCGTTCGGCTCGGAGGGGGTGCCCAGGAAGCGTGAACAGAAAACGATTCAAACGGTTCCAAGTGTGTGGCACACAGTGATTCAGTGAGTCAGCAGAATGGAAGTTGATGCAAGTTTAAAGCGCCAGTCAGCCACAGAATAAATCAACTTATGCATGTAGAGCGTGGATAGTCATCAAGAAGCAAGAAGCAAAATCCATTTGAGAGCAGAGAGCTGTGCCCATTTTGTTTTCGCCATTTAATGGAATTATCAACTTGATATGCAAAAACTTTTGAGTGTCTTCGTGTTTATCGAGATAAGTCAATTTCCGGAAGGCGACGCCTTCGTCAACAATTTAATTACGGAGTTCCGAATGCGCCTGATTTGTGCTCTATTCAAATATAAATTTCACTTGAATGCGACATTAATTGTTGCAACAATATTCAGTCAGTCCGTCAGTCCGTCTGTTCGTCCCACTGCCTTATCAATTTCAAAAACTGAATAACTGAAAGCGTGTCCCTTTCAGACTTCAGCTGATAATGTTGTCAGCAGCAGTTTGGGAGGAGGTGGGGGGACCCAGAAACAATGAGAGCCAACTCCCAAAGACATGTGTTGCAAGCAGGCTGCGGGTGCCCCAAATGCTCGAAAATAACCAGCAACATCATATAAAATATGTGACATAATTTTTGTTCGCATATTTTTAAAGACTTTATGAAATGTGCGTATACGTAATATGAAAGCTTTTAAATTGATATATATGTATATATATATATATATATATTAAGCTGGCGGCATTTGACTGTGTAAATAACTCATGTTGAACGTTTATTGGCTGCTTAATAGATTTCAATACGCAATTTCACTTTAATGCTTTTTTTGCTACCCTTAATTCAATGTTTGTGATTCATTTATTAGCTGGCGCCATAAACATAAGCTACAGGTAGCAAAAATACTTTGCCCGAGGGTGTGTCAAAAAAGTCGACAAATTTTATTATTAAAAGGAATATTAAAAATATAATAAACAATAATCTTAAGTTTCGGAGATCACATTTTTTCAGCTTAAAAACAAAAATGGACACGTTTACTTAAAAAATGTGAGAAACTTTTAAATTGGCGCTTGAAATTAATTAATATTTCTATGCCTTAACTTAACTGTTGCGAATTTGTTTCCACTTACCCTTGAGAGCTGGACAAATGCGCTTCCAGATGCTAATGCAACCGCATCGATGAAACTGACCCAGAGCCAGTTCCATATAAAACAAAGGTAGACCTCCAAAGATGAGAAAGACGCAGTATGGCACCAAAAAGGCGCCACCGCCATTCTGATAGCAGATATAGGGAAATCGCCAAACGTTGCCCAAATCGACAGCAAAACCGATGACGGCCAACAGAAACTCGGCCTTTTGGCCCCAAGTCTCACGAGGACGCTCCGTTACAGAAACGACCAAAACGCGCTGCAAAAGAAAAAGTGAAAATGAAGAAAATGAAGAACATTTCAAAAGTGAAATAATGTTGTTAGGGATTTGGGGGACAAATACGGGAAATAAACTGTGAATGTACCTCGTTGTTGGTGAGACGCGGCGCCAGCGGATCGGTGACCTTGGCTGGTGTTGCAGTATCGCCATCATCTTCGTTGGAGTCATCCTCATTGTTCGGCGACTCCTTGTTGTTGCCCCATGGTGCTGTTGCGGTTGCACTCGTTGCCGTCGCACTGTGAGCGAACTCGGTGCTGTTGCTGTTGCTCTTGCTGCTGCGATCCATGTTGAGCTTGAGTATCTCTGTTTCTGCCCTGGTGGGCGTTGGCTTTGGCATGGGCGTGGCCGAGTACGCCGATCGGGGCACTAGCGTCGCCAGCCGGACAGAAGGACTGCCCTGCGCCACGGGATTCGTTTGCGGCTGTGCCAGAGCCGAAACCCAGAGCCAAGGTCAGGCTCCTCTCGCTCTCGCTCTCTCTCTCTCTCTCTCTCACTCTCACTCTCACCCTCACTCCCGCTCTCTCCCCCTCTCTCTCTCTCTCTCCCGCTGTATCTGTCTCTCTTGTGCACACCTGCTTCTTCTCTTTTTCGGCCAACCTTTAGCGTACGCTGCGCATTGAAAATTGCATTTCGCCTTTTGTGTTTACATGCTGGTCAACACATCGCCCACGGACGGGGGGAGTAGAGGCGGTGGCGGTGACCTTGAGACTGCAATTGCGATTGCCATTAACTGCAAGCGGTTAAAGGATTACATGTTACTTCCATGGATGCACAACTAATGAGTCTCCACCCAATTGCTGTTCACAACACACACACACACACACACACACACATACGCAAGCACTTATTTCAGTGGCATTGCAGCATATGTGTGTATATGTGATGTCCTCAAAAATTCATATCGAAAGGAATGAGCTAATATTAGGGTGCATCAGGCTGGTCAAAAATTATAAAAATTATGTTTAAAAAAAAAAATAATATGTAAAATGAGCAAATTGACAAGAAATGGGGGATTTTTTCCTTTTTGGTCTTTATTTTACTTTTCTATAAAAAATTCCGATCAATTATCGATCGACTTTAAATTATTATTATAACAATTGTTTTTCTTTTATACTTTTTCCATATGTTTCCATTCATTAACTTATACAATTAGTGTTTAATTTCAACTGTTTTTTTTCCTCTCTCAACATTAATAATTATATTTCAAATGTTTTGATTGACTGCATTTTTGGGCAATTGCTTTCGACTTTTACTGGCTGCCCTGCGGAGACGCACACACTCCCACCCACTGAGATACATATGTACAAATGCTTGTATTCTGTCGGACGCATCGCGTTCCCTGAGGTGTCCTTTGTGTGGTAATCTATGGCTCAGTGATTGGGCCGATTTGCGTTTTGAGGCCATCGCCGGACATCGTTGGGCAAGTGGTGCGCATCGCTGACCAAATTGGCGATGTTCAATGTCAATGTTGTAAATACTGATGGACTCTCATGTGTGTGTGTGTGTGCGTCGCCATAAATATTGCTTGGCTTTATTTTAATCGTTATCAGTTACATTTGCGATGCGTGCATAACAGCCGCCGGGGCTTGAAAGTGTTCAAATATTGACATTTAATATGTGTTTTGGAGTGCAGCGATTGAAATTGCTTCAGGCGAGTACCTGTTGGATTATTTGTATAGGATAAGCCTGCACTTTTCACTGATTTTCTTTTATTCATTTTTTGTTTGCAAATTATTACTGATTTTCATTTCTTGTACGGCCTTCTTTGCAAAGTAAGTAGAATACATTTGCCTTTCAATTAACATTTTTAATTACCATTTAATGGTACGGATACTTTTGCACCTGTCACAGCTTTAACACATATCTTAAGAAAAAAAATAAATAAAAAATTCCTCGTGTGAAGCTGCTTCGTTCGAAATTGTGATAAGACAAAACAGCACTGCGCAAATTGGAAATAATTAAAAGGCACTCAAAGATAGGGAGACAGGAAACAAATGGCACATATGAATTGCAAATTAATTGCTTATGGTAATTCCAAACATAAAAGCAAATATCAGAAAATAACTCATTGGAGTGGCAATATTATATTTATTATTAAAAATTATTAAATATCGATATAATAGCTAGCTTAAACACTTGAAATATAATGAAATATAAAAAGTCACTCAAGGAAATATCTAAAAATATTTAGTTTTGTTTAGTTTATATCCATAAAATCTTTTGAAATCATTATTTAAGTAAAAGCATTGAAAACACTTACTTTTGACTATAAAGATCCTGGTTATTTATTTTCTTACAACATATATTTATTTTTTTAAAACCCACTACATTTACTTAAAATATTTCACTTTCACTTTTCCACTTGAACAAGGCAAATTTCAAAAATTTGAGTGGCGCGCGCCGCTTCTTGGTGGCAACTGCTGCCAATGCGAGCGAGGCGCCTCCTTTTATAGGTGGGCATCCGACTCGTGTTCAGGACAACAGCCGAGCCGAACTGTTGTCCTTCGTGTGTCGGTTAAATGTATGCGGGCTTTGTTCTGGGAAGGGGCTGGTTCTGGGGCGGTTTGTTGGTCGACTGTTGCCTGAGCCGGACAGGTGGCAACTGTAACTTAAATTGCGACAAACTGTTGCTTGCGAAAGTTGATTGAAGGGCAGCAGCAGGGGAAGTGGGTGGCAGTTGGGTCAAATGCGCTATTTGCTATTAAATGCTCGATTTTAACTGACTCTGCTTAAGTATATTCTTTTGTGTTGATGTTAAATGACAATGCAACAACATCAATTCGTTCTTTAGACTTTGCTTTTTTTGCAAGTTGATGATCATAATAAATTCAGTTTCTAAAAATTAAATACTTACTTATGACTGATTTATGTTCATTCACTTTTGCTTATAAGCATTTTTGAGTGCTCTTTACTCGTTTCAATTGAGTGGCAGACGAACATCTTCAGCAACATCAATTTTAATTAAAACACTTCATATCTCACCCGAAAAAGAACAAAAAGCAATTGTTTTTATTGAGTGGCTATTTATGTATTATTTTTTGCACTGTTTTGATTTTGATGTGGATGCTATTTTTTTTGCGCGCGCGCGTTTATTCGGAGTCTAATTTATAGACTTTCAATAAACAAATGCATTCGTTGTGCAGATGCTGCTGCTCTAATTTATTCAAGTCAAACAAATCAGTTTAATTACAATTGACTTGTGACAACGGCGACGGGCGACGGCAATGACGACTGCGGGGCAGCGGCTTCAGTTGAATACTGATTGTGCGCGCCTTGCGCTGCTCACGTTTTATATGGTTGAGGTAGGTGAGATTCGCGATCGCTCTCTCTCTCTCTCTCACACACTCTCTCATTAGCTTAGCGCATTGTCAAAGAATGGCATGCACCCTTAAGCTGTGACGTCACGCATATGAGCGCTTCGGACAAAACCTTGCGATCAGTGCTCCATGATTAAGAACGACGTTGAGGACTTTGTTATTGTTGTTGTTGCTGTTGCTGCTGCTGCTGCTGTTTCTTGGTGTGGGCGCGTCTGTCAATGAGCATGTTGAAGCGGCTTAGAGTCTACACGCTTATTCTACAAATGCCAATTGGTGCCGCGTCATCGTGTCTCAGTACATTTATGGGCTATTACACGCCCCAAAACTTATATAAATGAAATCGGATATTTGAATTTCCTAGCCAGCGCGCCCACGACCACAAACTGCTTACATACGTCATCGGCGTGAAGGTGGCTCACGCAAAGACGCAGCACCACCAACAACAAAACAACAACAGCATCTGCTTAAGTTGTTGTAATTGGATGCAAACGCAATTTGCATGCTACTCGCTAATTTGCCGCGTAAATAGGTAAGTATAATCGTACTCAAACTTCAGCTTGCATTTGCAGATATGCAGATAATGTAAAAACACGAAATTTAGTTATTTTCTTTTTGTTTCGTATACTTAATTTATAAGCCTCGTTAAGTTAAAAACCGTTATCTATTTTGGCGCCGTTGTAGCACAGTGACACTCAAACTGTTTATCTTTACAGTGCCATTTTCGCGTAACATACACAGCTATCTATCAGTGCTTTGCAGAAATGTTACTCGATTGAAGGAGCAACACACTTTTACTATTCGCTGATTGCTTTTTTGTTATAGAGTACCTCTTTTATTCAATTAATCTACTTTTTTCCAGAATCATTAGTGCGTTTACACTAAGAAGTACGTTTTTAAATACCTAGCAAGAGTGCGCGCCATGTTCCTCTGCAATATACATCAAACTGTTTACATTACAATTTGAGTATTATTACCAAACGAAACGATATATTGCTTGATATATCGCTGTGCAGCGTTGCCAGACTTTGAAACTTATGTACTTGTATTTTGTAAACAAACCCAAAAACCAAATCCAAATAGTTTGCTTAGTTTAGTTTTCATTTGATTAATTGCAATAATGCGCATTACGCGACACTTTTCGCAACTGTGGGAGAATCGCAACCCCACTGCTGCCTACCTGAGCACCTATTTCTTCTTCGCGGCACTGCGCCTGGTGCTAGTATTTGTGCCCCAATTGGGCTACGTGCATCCCGATGAGTTTTTCCAGAGCGTCGAGGTGATGACGGGTGAGTAGATATGTTTGGGATGAATCTCAATAAATTACTCTCGTCTCTTTGTCTCTACTAGGTGATCACTTTCGCTTGGAACACACACGCACATGGGAGTTCAACAATACGATGCCGGTGCGGAGCATAACGCTGCCGTGGGCTTTGCTCCGTGTGCCGTGGAGCTTCTATGAGTTTGTGGCGATGTATGTGCGTGAATTCTGGCACCTGGAACTGATCAATAGCTATGCCTATCTGGTGTTCCCACGCCTCATCTACACGCTGATCTCGTACAGCAACGACTATTGCATGTATCGCATTTGCCGGTTGTATGGATTGCGACATGAGATCCGTCTTCTGGCGCTTGCCAGCTGTTGGGTGTTGCTTGTCTTTGGCACACGCACCTTCTCCAACACCCTCGAGCTGGCCATGTGCGCCTGGCTACTCTGTCTGGTGGCCGAATGCATGCTGAGAACAAATACGGTTGTCTTCAAAAAGGAGTTTCTTGAGGAGAAGTACGACAAGGCGGCATCGATTAGTGAACGCGTCAAGATATGGAAACTGAAGAATGCGCTGCCTGCGCACAACTTGCAGCATATGTTCGCCATGTCCAGTATTTGTGTCGCCGGCGTCTTCAATCGACCCACTTTCCTGCTCTTCGGAGCACCCATGGTCTTCTTCTGGTTGCTGCGTGGCATGGGCACGAGGAGCGTGACCTTTCGGGACTTCAATCTGCGCATCGGACTCTTCTGCCTGTGTGCCCTGCCAGCTCTGCTGCTGTTCATATTCTGTGATTCGCTGTACTATCAGCATTTAACGGTCGGTGAGCTGCACATGCTCCAATTGGGCATAGACAATTTTGTCTTTACGCCGTGGAACTTTATCAAATACAATCTGGACTCGGCGCAGACAGCGTCGCATGGCGTGCATCCATGCTATGTGCATCTGCTGATCAATGTGCCGCTGCTCTTTAATGTTCTGGGCGTGGCCTCGTTGGGTGCATTTGCTCAGCTCCTGTTGCGCTTCTTTTGCGCCGAGTATCAACTGCTGCCCAAGTTCCAGAGCATTGTCTCGCTGATGTCGGGCGCAATCTTTGTGCCATTGTTCTTTTTATCACTGATCAATCATCAGGAGCCGCGTTTTTTGCTGCCACTCACATTTCCATTGCTTCTGTTACACGCTCCGAAGCTGATTACGGGATTTACTCCAGTTTATCCATTTCAGACGCAACATCCACTGTTGATTTGGTTCTACAAGCGGCTGTTGTGCAGCAGAGTGTCAGCGCCGCATCTGCTCCGCATTTGGTATGTTTGCAATGTGCTGTTGACGCTCTTCTTTGGCTTCATCCATCAAGCGGGTATGTTTCCGCTGGCACAGCGGATGTCGCATGTGGTGGCTACTAAACCGACGGCGACCCATGTCCATCTGCTCACCTCACACATGTACAGCCTGCCGCTGCATCTGGTGAATGTGCCCAGCTCGAGTCTGCAGCACTTTAATCCACAGACACATCAACGCTATCGACGCCAACGTGACTTTTATCTGTATGAATACGGTGGGCTCGCATTGGACAATCTGATGTACAAGGTGAAGCTGATCTCGGCCAATTGTGAACTCAAGCGGAATGGTGTGAAACGATTGCGTTACAAGATCTATTTGGCCATACCAGCTGCACTGAGCGGGGAGCTGCATGAGGCACTGCAGCGCTCCAATGCCAGCAGCTATCTGAACTTTGAGCTCGTCTCCGTTTTCTATCCACATTTGTCAACGGAGGCGTTTCCACGCCTGCAGGGCCGCCATCCCTGCGATGTGGATGCACCGCATTGGACGCACGACGATCTGCGCGGCACTTGCGCTGTGGAGCAGCCGCCAACGCTGAGCTTTGCCTACCTGAGCCGCCAGTTCAGCTCGTTTGTTCATCAGTTCGGACTGGCGCTCTACGAGATCGATGTGCGCCGGAAACAATCGAAAACAACGGCAACTCACACATTAGATCTGGACACAGCTCCAGCGACGCCGCTGCCGGAATCATCGGCGTAATAGTTCGGATTTTGTTTCGGCTTCAGATTCCTGTCCAAAGTGTGTCTTATACCAAAGATTAAGCTAAGCATTAGATCAATCAGTTGTTGGCATTAAACACATGCAGCTCTCAATTCTAGTCACACCATCACCTCATATAATTGTAACAATTATTTATCACAAAACATTTGATCTACAAACTGCAACATTCCTGCTTAAAATGAGTAGCTAAATATCAACACATGTCCAATGCTCATAATACAATTATTTACTAACTTAAATTAATGTTCGTTGAACACAAAATCCTTATCTTTTCGAACGTAAAGTAAGCAAATTAAAATATGTAAAATGTATAACTGCTCATTGTTTTTAAAGCTTGCTTAATTCATAAATATTCTAAATCTTATTGTAAAGCATCTAATATAATGTATTTAAAATGATCTTGCACTGTTTTTCTTAAAGCATTAAATATGCATTTGAATTGATATAAAAGAGATTTGCTTTTTAGATTATTTAATTTTAAATAAAGCGGATTTATATAAAGGCAACTTATAAACCGATTCATGCCCATAAAAATCATTAAGCATATAAATAGAAAAAGCCGGGTAAAAGTTAGCCAAAGAACCTGAATATGCTCAATCTCTTCCAGCACTTGTGAACGAGCTTAACTCTTGACTTTGATGCTGTCAAACAAGCGCTGATATAATTTAATTATAAACGTTGCCAAAACATGAAATGGAAAATATAATTTAATCCATTTGACACGCAGCGACAAACATTTGGCACTTTGATGAGATTGGTTCTTTTCGGTACGAGGTGCGGCATCCGCGTTCATTGAACGTTACCAAGCCAAATAATTGGGGGCACAAACAATTTCTCATTGCGTCCGCATTGTGTTCTAATTCAGCGACAATTTTTTTTTTATTTATTATTATTTTTATATTGGGTCTGCGGCCTAAGCCGTAAACTCGTTTGAGGGCGTTGTAGGCTGTGACCGCAGAGTGGCTATAAAACCGTTTGGCTAATTGGCCAAAAGCATCAGTCGCTGACAACTCAAATCAAAATCAACAACATGAAAGTAAGTCCAAGGATCTCTTATACTGTTTTTGGTCTACCAGTTCTAATATTCGTCCTTGCTTGCAGTTCTTCATCTGCTTCGTCGCTCTGTGCGTGGCCGTCGCTCAGGCTGGATTTTTGGCTTCACCTTTGACCTATGCTGCTGCTCCCGGATTTGCTGCCACCACATATGCCGCAGCACCCACGTATGCAGCTGCAACCTATGCCGCAGCACCCAGCTATGCAGCAGCCACCTATGCCGCTGCTCCAGTGACCACCTACTCGGCTCATGCTGTGCCCGCTGCCTACTCCACATACGCAGCTGCTGCTCCCGCCTACACAGCGTCCGTGTACGGTGCGCCTGTGGCAACGTATGCCGCCGCTCCAGCCTATGCTGCCCCAGTTGCCACTTATGCTGCACCGGCTGTCCTCAGCCCCTTCTTGAAGAAGAAGTAAACTGTTTGACAAAAGAACATTCTGTCAATTCCTGCCTACCTCATTACGATCCATTAAATACTACATAAACTGCGAGAACTACTCAAATTTATCTTGAAATTATTGGGTATGACATTTTTTATAGATGAAAAATGATCAGAACTGCATTATCTATTAGAAGGGGACCTGAATCCGGGCTGATTAGCATTCTAATTGATAGCACATTATTTTTCTGTGATTCCAAAGGCATATTTTAAGATTACTTTCTAGTATATTTAAAATCTGAAACTTCTTCGCTTCAGCTAACAGAGTATTCCACGGCCAACTACAATGCTCTCATTTGATGTTCATTGAAGATCTCCAACTTTATACAATATTGTATTTATGTTGCTTTATTATTTAATTTTTTTGATTGCTTGCAACCGTAAATGCTTAATAGATATTGAATCGTTGATGCTACAAACTTGTAACTAGACTACATTTAACTTAGAATCTGGTAAATATATTATAGGCCAAATACAAAAGAAATAACTAAATGAAGGACACATTTGATTTTAATGGATATTACGGCTCAAGTACATGGGATTCCGGTTCGGTGAGTCAACATCCTCGAAGACAAAGTCCTCCTCAGCGTTCCAACGCACACTCCGTTCTCGACTTACACTGCATTTTACAGGGTATCGTGCCATTTTTGTGGGTTGTCGGTTGGCGGTACGAGAAAAAAAGGTAAGGTTCAGAATATATAGACTTTGTCGCTGTGAACACATAAGAATTTGTGTGTGTTTTGATTGGTACTCTTTGTCAAGTATTCGATTACAAAACAAACAAAAAATAATCAATATCAAATGGAACAAAAAACAAAAGCGCATTCGATAAATGTTCAATAACGTTGATAGAACCTGTTCATCCCAGCCGCTGGCGGTGGCGGAGGAGGCGGTGCACCGCGTGGCGGAGTGCGACGGGCACTAAAAAAATAATTGTAAATTATAATTATAATAGGATTAGTAAATGTATCTATTAATGCTGATAGAATGAGTCTTACGCCGCTACAGCGTCAGCGTCCAGATGTGCCCCAGTACCATACATATCGCTCTCATCCAAATCAAATTCATCGGTACCAGTGCGTTGGCTATGAAAAAAGAATACAGGGTATCCAATTCAACAACTTTTCCTAATTAATAATCATTCTTTAAGGCCTTAAAATGGTAGCACTTGAAATGGTGTAGGTGATAATAATAAATATCTGGAATTTTTTTAAATATAGCTGGCTCGATTTGGTTTGATTTTGATGGGTCTTTCAAAATCAGATAAGGGGCTTCAAGGCACTTTGAGGCACTTTGGTTTGATGTGTGAAAGGAAGTAAGTTTCGAGCTGTCATCTCTAATTGAGTCTCTACGGGCTGGGTGCTAACTCACAGGCGCTGACTCCGCTTGTTGATAATGTCCTGCACGGCTCGGGCAGTCAATGAGACTTTGTTCCGCAAACGCATCGGCGTTCGGGGCATGGGCACCGCAGCGGGTATATCCGGATTGACGCTCAGAACGGGCGTGACCGGACGACGAATCAGCTCACTGCCAGATCTGTCCACATTGCTACCACGTCTTCAATGGAGAAACGAGTCACTCAAACACGGAACAAGGGGGCGTGGCACACTTACAGCTTTGGTTTAGCACGCAACTGATTGCGATTATCCGACTGCAGTCGGCGATTATCCGGCTGACGTTGTTGCTCGGGACTGGCGCTATTCTTGGAGCGCCAGCCACTATCCTGCTGTGTATCCTCAAAGTCAAACTCCTCAGTGCCCTGGCGGCGACTGGGCGACAGCAACAACAATAACAGAGTGGAATCAGATGGGGCGGGTAATCTGTGAGGGGCGGGTGGGCTGAGTCAGCTTAGGGTCAACTTACAGCGGTGGCTTGACCTTATTGCGGGACTGCCAAATGTTGATATTCTTTCTAGATTGACTGCTGTCGCGCTCATTGGAGTTGGCGCGACTGGGCGCACTGGATGAGCCCCAATTGTCATCGTCGCGTTGACTGCTCAGCATTTTCCCAATGTGATGAGTGAAAAAGCTGGTGAAGATGTGTGGCTTGCAACAATTGTTTCATCTATCTACTCACAGCTGCTGGCGACTTCGCACTGGCGTATTGATGGTCACCATTTCGCGTCCGCGGCTCAGCTCACGCTCTCGACTCCGCGGCTCACGCTCCCGATCACGATCTCGCATCCGCTCACGCTCCAGCTCACGCTGCTCCGACTCCTGACGTCTCAGTTGGTGCTGCGGCTGCTGCTGCTGCTGGGTTTGCCTAGAGGGCGTAGAGTCGTCATCGGCTATGTCCAGTGTCTCTTCGGTGGCAGTGCGACGTCTGTGTACAAGATTAATATTATTTTCCACTCTTTCTGTGCTGTTCAAACAATTAGCACATAAAACCAAGCGATTTATTTTATATATAACTCATAACTTATCCTACTCCATCACAAAATGCGAGAATTGATCTCTGCTCTCTACTTACAGTGGTGGTCTGGTTGCTCTTGCTCTTGCTGTGCTGCTGGTGCTGCGCTCCCGCTGCTGTTCCCGCTTCGCTGAGCTGGTCGTGCGCTGCTTCTGGCGTCCCCGACTATCTCCTCGTCGGCCCCGGTCGTCATCTCGGTCACTTCGATCGCTGCGCCGCTGCTTGTTCTTGCTGCGTGCTTGGGCCCGCTGCATGGCATTGAGGCGCGTCTGTATGGTGATCAGATTGAGGCCCACTGGCGTTCCAATTGCCCAGAGCAGTAGCGTCAGAAAGATGAAGAACCACAGACCATTGATGAAGTCAACCAGATTGCGGCACAGAAAAATGCGACTGGCATCGAAAGTATCGTAGAATGGACGACACTTGGTGGTCGTATCACCCAGCTGGGATTCCATGGTGGCGCGACTGCTCGTCAAATAGGCCTTCAGACTGTCAAGGTAAACATTATCTTTGTTTTTATCTTTACGCTTTAATTTCTTTCATTACGTTTTAGCTACAATAAACATAAGTCTTTCAGTTGAGTACTCAGACTGGTTCTCATCCACTTATAACTCAAAAGTCAATTTCTAAATGGCATCATTCAACCATTGTAATTACAATGCAGTCGAAATTATCTGTTGTACTTCAATTTCGAGTTGTTCTTCAGAAAAAAACAGAAATACAATCATGACACTTGGCAAACTTAATCAAACGATTACGACTTTCAATTATCTGATAAAACAAGAGCAACTATGTGTGTACAATGCCCCTGGTTGAGTTGAAGTTGTTTGCTCGATGTGTCGTTTGTTTATGTTTGCCAGATGCTGCTGCTGCTGTTGCTGTTGCTGCTCTGAAAAGAGCAACACTGCAAAACAACAATAAAACACACACACACACATACACACATACTGATATATAGACAAGAAGGACTCTGGTCAGCCGCAGGCGAAACGTAACGAGTGTTGATGCAAGGATGCGATTGCCCCATAGAAAATCACTCAGCTTTCAGTGCAATTAACCTCGGTAAATTGTTGCCTGTCTGCCCCTTCCATGTATGTGCGTGTGTGTGTGTGTGTGAGTGTTGCATGCACCATGTCGCATATAATTGGGTTAGTAGGCACATCCTCTACTCACCGCTCTGTGTAGACTCGCGTCAGATTGTGACAGATCTCGCCAGCCTTATTCTCCAGATAGCCCTGAATGCTCTTCAAATGATTGAGCGTCTGATTGACCTGCTTTGCCCAGGGATCTCTCTGCAGCTCCAACGCTGTCAGATGGTAGAGTATCTCATTCTGTAAATTCTCCAGCGGCTGCAAAATGGCTGCCTGCAATCGTTTCGATCGGCTGCCCAGCGTTGTCATGCGAGACGAAGTGGCCACATCCTGAATCTAATTGGGATTCGCGATGGATTGTTTGGATGAGGAAGAAGGCGGGGAAAAATGTGTATAACTTGTATAAGCAGTGTAATACTATTTCTGCTTCAGACACACTTTTAAAATCAAATAATTAAGACTATATATCTAATCAGTTATAACTGAAATATTTATTTATCAACAATTAATTTTAATTGATTGGTTTTATAAGTAACATTTTACGTAAAATTTGATATACATTTTTTCGATGACTCAACAAAATGTTGTTGATTTGTTGTTGTTTTATTAAACTAATGGGGTCAATTGCTTGCTCACCTGGAGTGCAACGCGTTGCATTTGGTCGATGAATGTAGCCAAATCCTTTTCGGGCGTGGGTGCGCCGACGCTATTACGGTATGTGGTTAAATTGAATGCGGATGTTTGCAGCATATTCTCCAAAATGTGCTGGATGGATTGTGTCAGCGAGAGCAGTGTGCGTTCCGATACGGAAATTGCATCGATGGCCGTTGAGACTTTTGGGAATTGTTTTAAATCGGCTATTTTTGTGGTATTAACGAACGCATCCAATTGAAAGACATTGTACGATGCTTGATTTTGTTCGCAACCCCTGAATTGCGTATACGCCATGTAAGTGTGTTTTTGGGTGAAATTTGATAACATTGTGCACAGTGTTGTAAAGTGGCAAAGAAATTTCAAAAGATTTTCAGTTTACTGCATGCAAACTTTGTCAGCTTGCAATATTCGTTCGGGTGCTACTTTTGGACGAAAACCAGACACACCAACACACACACACACACACACACACAGCCAGCCAGAGAGACAGTTATGTGGCAAGAATTGGTGCACTCGAGTGGCTGTGGTGGGGGGTGGTGTGTGCGGTCGGTCATGCATATTCTGCATCGGTCGCATTCATCCGCACTTGGATCTGTGCAGATAATTGGAATTGGGCTTAAAATTTTGTGGCTACAAGTTGTGGGTGTTACTATGTATGTGGTGTGTGCAGTGGCATTTCTGCGTAAAATTAAGTGGCATGCGGCATCTAGCAAAATTTCTCTAGGCTTTCAAAACTTTGCGGCTTAGTTGACCGTACGTACGAGTGCTACTAAAGTATCTAAATATCTGTGTAGTCCGGCAGACTGTGCGCTGTTGGAATAATAAGTTTTTAGCACAGTGACGAACATTTGATTGCTGGCCAAATCTACTACTTGCGTCCGAGGAGTTCGCCAATTGCAAACTTGTGATAGTGCTCTCGGCTGTAGGGATTTAGGCTCGAGCAACTTTTTGGTAATCAAGTGAACGGGCGAGAATCAATAGACACGTTTCTGGGTGGCAGGCAATGTGGCAAGTTGGCAAAGGGCTGTGTTGAACTATTAACTAACTTAGTTTTGATTAGCTTCATGTAACTTAAAGATGCAATCTCCACATCATAGAAATATGCAAAACATTTCTAAATTAGTAAAATAATAAAAAAAATAAATAAAACATATAGCTTATACAAAAAGTCTTCTAAAAGTAAAATAAATAATAATATATACATATAAAAACTTGATTTAGAAGTTATTCCAAGCCACTTAAAATTAGTTTTATTAGTTTAATCACATCGGAGGAGCTCTTTTTACAATCACTGTGAGTTTTCAGTTAATCAAGAGCAGTCAATCAATAAATTTGATCCTGCAACTAAGCCACCTCTGCAGAGCACACAACTTGCCACAACTAAAGATAAAGATTGACTATATGGAGAACAAAAAAAAAACACGCACAAAAATTGACAGCTGATTAAAGATGGCCAACAAAACAGGTAGATTGAGTGCTTGTTCGATGGGTTTGAGGGCTATCAAAATTACAGGCACGTACAGTATCAAAGTAATTGGATAGCAAAATTCGTTACTTGTTGGACTTGAGTAGGTTATACTTGTAGGTGCTAATTGGGTTATCTGTCTCTCTCTCTCTCTCTCTCTCATGCTGGGAAGTCTAAGTTAACGCATATATATATATTAGTGGGCAACAGGTAAGAAGTTGCTTTTGCGTTTAACTCACCTGAGCGCTGTGCCCAGACTGACATTGACCACAGAACGATTGACGCCAGCGGGACGCATTAGTTCACCAATGATGCCAGTTTGGGGCTCCTGGGCATAGACATAGCCCGGCTTATCGAATAGCTTACCCAGCATCTCATAATTATTGTCGTTTAGGGAGCGACAGAGGAAGACTTCAGTGTTGCCGCCAACGGCCAGCGAGGTAACACCATAGAAGGTCAAACATATGCTGCCCAGGCAAATGATCATTACTGCAATGAGAAAGACCACGCCCGATTTCACATTTGATTCGCACAGGAAACAGCAGTAGGACATCATCATGAAGAGTAAGACCCAAACGATCAGCATGGCTGCTATCCAACCGATACTCCAATATGTGTTCGCCCACTCCTTGAGCTCATTGTAAGCCGGCTCCAAGGCTGGCCACATTCGCTGCAGTCGCTCGAGCAAAGCATTTATTGTCGATGTGAGCATCTGAGCATTTGCCGTTGTCCTGTGCCTGATGCTGGCCAACTGTTCCAACGTATCTGTGCGGACAAGTTTGGCAATTCAATTAGTGTATTCAATTGTGTTGCCCAAGTGACAGTAATTAATATTGTGCTGAATCTGCACAAGTTAGGCCACCCCCCAAAGAGTCGCCCCTAATCCAAACCGTGTTCTCATGGGCAAAACATGTTTACCACTACTCTGAGCTGACATGTGCTATTGATTGAATTGTACATTTAAAGTGAGACCATAATTGAGTTTTGGGTTTTATGCATTTTGTTCAACAAAATCGTTTTATCTGTGCAGAAATGTAAATGTAATTAACTAAGAAGCTTTAATAGCAACAAAGTCAACTAAGACAAAACAGTTTCAGAAAGAAAAAAGAAAATTTTTGATAATATATAAACGGAAAAATCAGTTGAAAAATAAGTTCCAAGTGGATAGATTGAGATCAAACCTCCTGATATCTACAGAAATAAGAAATATTTAGCTTGCAGCTAGACATAAAACTGGTATAATTAAAATAAAACTTGTTTAAAAATATTATTTTTGGCTTAAAATAAACAAAAAATCAATTAACGCCTTGATCACCGGACTCAAATAGTTTTGCCCTTCATATGTTGAGTCTCTAACGAACATGATTCCAAATATTTGGGGTGGGTATTATAATATTGTCTTAAAGTTTGTACTGCATTGAAGGATACTTCCTCGACCCTTTAAAGCATATATATTTCTGATTAGCATCACTGGCAGCAGAGTCGATATAACAATTTCCATCTGTCCTATCTATGTATATGAATACAAGGTCCTAGGCGTTATAACCTATCTAAATGAAACTTGTAATATATTCATTTATTTGAAAATTTGTTTAAAATGTACAATATAATAATATTTCGAACTCCGGGCCCCAAATTGGAACGTTTGCAGAAGGACTCCGGTCGGCAAGGGTATATTATCTTCGACGTGTCTAAGATGGCCGAGTTTTAATACAACTTTACTGGTCATGAAGTGTGACATCATATAGTCTAAGTCGTTATTAAACAATTTTGTTTGTTGCTAGCTAAACATGCATATATGATACTCTCGAAAAGTTAGCAAACAACTTGCCTGAGAAATTTGTATAAAAGGCGCTGCCATTCTGGAGTGGAGCATCAGTTAATTTTCACACTGCATTCCACAACTATACACTAATCAAAATGTTTAAAATCGTAAGTCTTTTGGTGCGAACTGAATAATCAAGGACGGTGGCTACTAATAAATTATTCACAGTTGATGATCTGCGCGCTTATCGGCCTGGCCGTCGCCATGCCAGCTGTATCTCCAGGTGATGATGCCCACGCTGAAGTCCTTAGCCGCACGGATGATGTCCGCGCTGATGGTTTTAATTCAGAATTAAAGACCAGCAATGGCATTGAACAAACTGCTAGTGGTGATGAGCACGGCACCATCCACGGCAGCTTCAGCTGGACCTCGCCCGAGGGTCTGCCGGTCAATCTCAATTATGTGGCCGATGAGAACGGTTATCAGCCACAGAGTGACGTTCTGCCCACATCTCCCCCAATCCCAGAAGCAATTGCGCGCGCTCTTGAGTGGATTGCTGCCCATCCCTCAACCAACGAAGAACAACATTAAATGTCTTTTGATTGTGCCAGGACTCGAATCTTGAAATCAACAAGATAATAATAGTTTTAAGGATTATCGCGCAATGCTTTTGGCAAATAAAAGAATACTTTTTGTCTTAGCAATCATTATGTTTAACAATTGGACATCTATGGACCAACTAAGTTGGATTGTTTAGTTATGAAAAGTTAATATTTCACATGCTCACAGCCAGTCGTGAAACACAGCCAGTTCCTTTAACGATGGCTACACACAAGCAACAATTTCATGAGCCAAATCGTATCCACTTGAAATTGTCTATCTATTTTTTTTGTTTATTTTCACGTGCAGTACAATTTATTATATTATTTTGTGAGCTATGATTGCGGGATGGGAGAGAACTTACAGTTGCGTTCGTATGCCGTGTCGTGTTTAACTTGTTGCGGGAAATTGCTGAAAATGGAACGTGAGACGCCAACTTCCGATGTTAGATTTTTGACAGTGGCACCAAATTCAATTTCGCCCAAGTAACGCATGCGAAAGATGCTCTGGTCCTCTTGCAGCTGACAAATTGTACACAAAACGAAAATCGGATACAGACAGACGCGGATGAGGCAGACATACAGAATTATAGCAAAACAAAATCGTCTAAACTATAATTGACCAACTCACCGTTTTGAGGGCGTCGACAACGCCGTTCTCCTCGAAGCTGCGTATACGCAATGTGTCGCATAGCGGACGATCCCTGTACGTGCATTGGCGCTGCAACACGGACAACTGTATCTGCAGCTCCTCCATGCGGGCGGCGGCCTCCTGCGACAACTTGAGGGCGCGTCCAACGGTCTCCTGGAGCATGAGGACACGATAGATGAGCTCCGCGTTCGCTGCAACAAAATCCAATGAAAATATTATTGTAGCACATATTTATTTGTGGGGCAACAGTGTGGGTAGTTGGGATACGAGTCCTCTTCTAAATTACACATTGTGTGTGAATGTAATGCAGTTGTCCTCTTGGCATTTGCTCTTCGCTTGTGTCAACTTGTCACCGGATGTGGATGCCGACTGCCAGCCTGCCAGCCTGACAACTGAAACTGAGACTGAGAGTCAGGCTTCGCATTTCGGAACATCTTCTCTAGTTTTTATTTGCCCGTTTGCATCCCCATAATGAAATTGGGCGCATACAATCGTTTCTTCCGCAGCGCACTTCAAAATACATTTTGTTGTCATATGATACAATATTATATTTTTGCTCAACTTAAAACTGGTGCACATTTATAGATAGATACAATAAAAATGTGTATGTCAAGTCTAGAGTAACGCGTGGTGCAGGAAACTTAAATGAAATTTGTAAATTATTTATTGAAAATCAGTGGCAGTAAAGCTAAAACTCATGTCTCCTATTTTAAATGCAGTACTTTTATCGCTTATAGAAATCAAAAAAAACTTAAGTTTATTTATGCCATTTAATATCAACTTGCATACTTTATGATTTAACATTTTTGCAGTCTTTGAATTAAAGTTTGGCGATAAAATAAATCACCTTTTGGGTCTGTTCGATTATTCACACAGAGCCCAGTATTACCTAGTTAGGGTTGTCCTTGAAATAAACACAAGACGAATAGAATAGGGATTTGGGTCAAGTCCGAGTTTTAATGCATTGAGGCAGACAATCGCAGTGGAGCACTTAACCAAAAAGACTCACCCAGGCTAAGTGTCGTCAATGAATCATATGCGAGCTCGAGGCCAGTGTGTGCAGATATTTCCGCTTGAATTGGCTCGCCAAGGAGAATATCCACGTCTGTTGGGAATAGAAAAGAAATATACAGTAAATTAAGTTCACATGCGAGGAGAACCATTGCTGATAGGCTGGGAAGAGCAAAGGGACAGCTGAGTAGAGTCGAGCAGAGAAAGCCACTGCAATAACTCACAATGCAATGCATAAAGTTTTAGCATAATACTACAAGAATCGAAAACTATAAAATGTGCGCCATAAAGTTGGCAGTTGGCAAAGTTTTTCTTATTTTTTTAGTTTTTCGTTGCCACCCACTGACCTTCCAAGTCTTTGACGACCCTTTCAACGGAAACATGAAAGCCATTATCCAGTTTGTGTTTGATTTGTAGATGCGTATCCTTAAGAAAGACCTCCACATCGTGCACGGCTGACTTGACCATCTCCGGCGTCATCTCAATGCCCGCCGAGAGGCGACTATTCGCATAAAATATGCTAAAGTCGCTCAGCCTGCAAAGTGCCAACAAATTGATGCTGAAAACTTGCAAAAAGTTACAACTTGCCAACTGTATAAGCAACTTACGTGAGCAATATAAAGACAATCCAGAGTGTGACCAGACCGGCACTTTTCCGACATCGCAAATTATCCTCCAGCGACTCGTCCCGGATGTTAACAGATGCATTGCGTATGAGATCCACCTCGTCCTGGGTGGCGCGACGACCACAGCACCACGCACACGTGGCAATCAACGGAACCAGAGCCAATATGGCAAATATGCTCATCAGCGCAATGAAACCCGATTCGATTTTAATGGCCTACACAATAATATAGTATAAAAGATAACCCATTAATAGTTTTCTAATGTATCGAGAACATTAATTGTCCACTTACATTGGCGGCAAAGTCGATAAGGCTGACATTATTGTGTAGTACATCGCGTATGGAATCTAACAAAATGTTTGTGATTTGAATATTTTGGAATATTCTACTTTTACTTTAAGTAAAGTTAATATAATCATAATAAAATATATATTAACCGTTTGGTATATCAGGCAAGGTTTTAGAAGTGGTTAGATTAGATAATTTTATTTTTATTCTTTAAAAAGTGAAGTTTTAAAAAAGTTGCAAAGCACTTAGAAATTCGGAGACGTTATTTAATAAAAATTTTAAGATGAGATCCAATTCTAGAATTCTATTAATATTAAATAATTTTTGTATATATTTGAGAAACTGCAACTGAATTAATTTTGAATCAAAATGTAAAATCTCAGTCCGTCGATTGGTCAACTTGTTGGGGATCCTCTCGCTCATTGATATGCTGGATGATGACCACATTGAGTAGATTCGTTTCCGCCAAGGGGCGTTGATCGGTCTCAATGAGTTCGTTTCGTGGAAATGCAGTCATGAGCAGAAAGTTTTCACTGGCATATTGGGGCCTCGCCATTCGCACAAATCTATAAAGATCTCCCACATTATGGGTGGTATTAAACTGAGCGGAAATGCGGCTGCCATCTGCGAGACGAAACTGTATTGTTGTCATTCCAGTTTGTCTGTTAAGCTGGAGTGAATCAATTGCACTCTGCTCCTGCTCCTGTTGCTGCTGCTCCTGTTGCTGTTCCGTCGGTGACAACGCACCGTCAGCCGTTACCAAACTGGACGGAGGACTGGACAAGGCACGACCAAAGCCCATGAATTGCTTGCGCGATAGTTCGCGATAAGAGGTATTCGTGTGATCCCGTACAGTCAGCTCCATCCGCTGACCGAGCTCCAGCATCTCATTTGGAAAATCACCGCGCATAACACGACGTAAAAATCGATCATTTTCTGGTATCTCATAGAGTCGCAATGGGCCCTCGCCCAGTGTGAATCCCTCGCTCCACAAATGCAAAATCACCACACTCTGCTCACTCTCATTCTCATCTTGGTCGGAGGAGTCCGAGCCCGAGGCGCGTGGCGGCAACGGAATAATTGGATGAGCGCTGCCCAAACTTACTCCATGTCCCCAAGCCCTCAAGCTGCGATCACTGTCCGCTGTGGTCAGCGCTGGTGTTGAGTCTTCAATGTGCACCCGCTTCAACTGTTGATGTTGTTGGCGCACGGAACTTTCGGAGACATCGCCGAGATAAGCCTCTCGGGGTGTCGCCCTAGTGAGCGTCTGACGACTTAAAAGGCTCTGCAGAGAATTAAGGTCTGGTACATTTCTGCCTCGCTCTTTGGACCTGTCCGCCTCATATTTGAGGCCGGCCTGTTCCAGAGCCCAATTGTTGGTAGCGAGATAATGGCGTGCTACCGCCTCTTGTTCGCCATATTTCTTCATAAAGCTGGCCAGCTTTTGCTCATCGGACATCTGACATCGGCTTCTTCTCGATCCTCGCTCAACTTATCAATTTTTTTCTTATTGTAAAAATATTTTTGTTAACTCATATTCAAAGAGTTTCCTAAATCAGCTGAAGTCGTAGCCGACTTTGCTCTAAGTTGGCAATGCCTGAAATTGTCATTTTTTTAAACTTTTTTGATTTGCTAAGAAAGCGGCAATAAGGCAAATTCGTGTAAGACACGAGTCTTAATGTGTGCACAAAATGTACGCCAACTGAATTTAGTATCCTAGTTTCATCCAATGTCGACCAGCGTGCGGCATTCACAATGCATTCACAAAAGGTCGCGATTCGACAATGGAAATCATTCACCATCTTTGAGAAGAAAGTGGAGATTGAAGGCTATTATTTGGGAACTCATTCTGATCTTTGTAGTCTCTTTAACTATCGACAGTCTAGGTTCTTTGTATAATTTATTGTGATGTGATTAATCTATGAAATTTAGCAAAGATGTAGCTTTTTTTGTGCTTTTCTACTAACCGGTTTATTCTATTGATATGCTGATACTTAACTGACTTTAACTTTTAAAGTTCAATCTATAATTCACAAGTGTAAACGCTTAAGTGTTTGTCAAATTGTCTAATTATCTTGCACACATTTCAAAGGACTCGTCATAGCTGTTAAACATTTTGTAAATGATATGAAAATGTCGACCCTGCCACATTCCCACAGTTAATGCCTTGGCTGTTTGGCAGTCAGACAAAACCAGACACCAAGCCACAGACACACACACACAAAGTCACTTAAAAACACACACGCATACACACACATAAATATTTATGCACATATATACACATCCTGACCCTTCTCCTTCTCATTCTCATGCAACTTACCAAGCGGCAATTCTTCGGGCGTGATAAGCGATAAAAATTCACTAACGTAGGTGAATATAAATGGTCCTGGCGCAATGTCCATGCCTGGTATGCTGTATGTAAAAAATGTGGATGTCGTTGTTGTTGTCGCTGCTGTTGTTGTCGGTGATATTGTTGTTGCTGTGGCACTAGACATTGCTGCGGCCGTTGCTGTTGTTGCTGTTGACGAGAATATAATTGTTGTTGCGCCTGGCGTTGGCAGTGTTAGATTACGTATACGTAGGTCCATCTTTGTGGCCAGTCGCTTCCTCTTGTGAGTGTGGCTGTGGGTGTGTGTATGTGTGTAGCTGAAATGAATAAATGGGATACGAGGACAATGAATGCCTGTGGAAACACACCAAGAATACATATGGAGTATGGTGTGTGAGCAGGGATATTGTAAAATATTTTCGGAATTTTATGTTCCAATTATGTATTCATATTTATAAGAGCACACATAGATTACATGAAACATACATATATAAATTAATAATTATTGCCTTGGCTCGTGCCACATTTTCACATAATTTTCCTGGAAATTAATTTACAGCATAAGTTGCTTATGCATTTTAATAGACTTGCGGCGGGACAACGAATGTCTTGTTGTATTTTTATGCAACTTTTATTTAAATATTTAGGTAAGGCTTTAAGAGTTATTTGGGTAAATGAATAAAGAAGGAATATTTATTAAAAGTATTTACCATGGAAATATTCTAAGAATTCAAAAACTGTAGTAAGTACATTAATTTAATATAGAATATATTTTATACAATTGCTGGCAAGCAAAGCCCTCTATAAATATGTATACAAAAATGTATCTAGATGATTATTTCATTTGCAATTGTCCACCCTGACCATGTTCGTATTGCATTCAACTTTTAAACTATTCTATTGTTTCACTGCTATTTCAAGGTGTTGCCCCAAATTGGTAACAGTTTTGTTTTACTCGTGTTGTCCATGAATATAAGTGACGCCTTGAATTGAATTTTGCACACTCGTTAATTCTATTAAATTCATTTTTCATTTATTTGCAACTGTTGTCGCTGTTGTCGCTGGTGTCGCTGGTGTCGTCTTCTGTTTTGTGTCTCTTTTTATCTGTTTGCTTCGCTGTCAACAGTTGAGAATTCCATTTCACCTCGTGGGTAATGACTTTCACTACCTGCAACATATTGTTGCAAAGATATATGTATATATATATATATATTTTCATTCCTTTTTCGTCATTGGTCTGCTGTTGCTATTTAAGTTGCTGTTGCTGTTGCTGTTGAGTGCGGCAACCCCAGTCGCTTGGGAAGCCCCTCAAGCAATCGGCAACTCTTTAGTTCGGTTTCCTTGACAATATATATATGGTGCTGGCTAATTGTTCTGCTCTGGGACTTGCACTCGGTTCAGAATTAGAACAAACCAATACGAGCGAAACTTAAATAGTCTTGGGCTCAAAAGTGGGCCATTAAAATGTGATACTCTATGGCAAAGCATTTGCTACCTCCACAAAATCCTCTCTCTCTCTATCTCTATCTCTCTCTGTATCTATATCTCTGTCTCTGTCGGTATCTGTGCGATTATGTGAGCTCAATGGACACAAGTCAAGGCGCCTCGAATTGCTTGCCAAGCTCTTTTGAAGGCAACTCGATACGCAACTTCTACGAACATGTTGTTATTGTTGTTGCTTCTGTAGTCACTGTTGCTGTTGTGTATTGTTAGCTGCATATTAGTAAAAGCCGTTTTATGACAATTACTGGTTCTTTAGCATAAGATGGGCAAAGTTCACAACACGGCTTAGATCTGGGAATATAACTTCAAATGTCACAAGCCATTGGCTAAGTTCCATGTGATGTGATGTATATGCATTCATAAAATATACAATTAGTTACACAAATACATACAAATATGTAATTTATGCTCTCATAAATGCAACTAATTTGCACATAAATAAAATGCACAAATAAATGCAACTAATGTGCACATTAATAATAATTTAATTATTAATTGTGTAACTGTTTTATTATTTATTACTATTTTAATATGTTTACATTTATACCATTGTAGCTTTCAATACGAGGAGAGTGCCATGGCATTGTTATCAAACTTGCAACTTTGTTCATTAAGATGGTTAGCTTAGAACCTTTCAAAATAATAAAAAAAAAAATGGGCTGACAAAACATTATGACATTTTAATTCCGATTCATTTCATCTATCTTAAGTCATATATTTGCATAAAAATCTAAAGATAATGAAAACGTCGCGTATGCTTAATATAAAATGTACCAACATATAAGTTATAACCGGTTTTTGCTGTTAAATGCATTCATTAAGCTCCAAATGTCAATATACCAGTGGAGTCGTTAATTTCGATGTTAATCATGTTTAACGCTCCAATTCTTGCCAATGCGCAAAAATCTACTAATTAATAAATTCTCTATGCTAAATAAACTTACCTCGTTTGCTGTTTGAATTGATTGACTTAGTTTGTTCTCACTCTCACTCTCACTTTCCCTCTTCCTCTGACTGTCTCTGTCTTTCTTTATCCCACTTTATGTTTGCGTCTCTTTCACTGGTTATTTGCGTAATTGGAGGGCCTGTTAAATGCTGACTGGCATTCCCCAAGCGATTTTCGAATTAAAACTCATTAATATGCAAATTTTCAGCAATTTGTTTTGACGATTTATTTAGTCGCACGTTTAGTTTATAACATAAAGCAAATGAAATAACTGCAACGACAACACTTATTTACTGACATATTCAGAATATATTCGTTGTTTGCTTTTCAAAATTGCATTTTTCTGCTGGCCTGCCATTTTTATTGATTTCATGAACGCTGAGCACGAGTAAAATGTGTAATTTGTTTTAGATACACCAATTCAGCGACCATTATCAGTTGATGCATCCATTCGCACTTCCCAGGAACTGCTGCAGTATCCTGGGACAATAATACACGCATTATCCGTGTAAATGATTTATTTTCAATTTATTTGTTGAGCTGCAAATAAAAGCTCGACACGTTTTACAAATTCAAGCGCCCACAGAAGACTGAACGGAACAAAGTGCTCGAAGCCCAAATAATCGACAAAGAAAACTTAGAAATTCTCTTTAGTTTATTTTGTGGCAACAGGCGACTAAAAATCGGTTAAAACGTATGGTATGATTGCCTATAAACAGTGGTGAATTCTATTCTACCATTTTTGCCTTTGTACGCACAGCACGTGTTGGTTACAGCAATATTGGCGGGAAGGTTTAGAGATGGAAAAGAAAAGGGTGAAACATTATTTCAGATAGATCACTTGGCAATATTATATATATTTGTATGCAGAAGATTGATTTCATTGGAGTGACTGTTCAATAACTTTTCTGAAATCAAGCAGAATCGTTATATATAACTTCTTGAGGTGCTAGCAAAAATATTAATAAATAATAAACGAAGTTAATATATGTCATAAGTCATATCTTGTTAGCTCAGTTATAGAAACATTGCGTATACTTTATATATAGTATAATCTCCCGTTACATTAACTCAATAATTGCCGCTTTATTGCTCCACTTTAAGCTACTGAATATTATACAATGAGTATAAGAAAGCTGTCATTGTTTTTTTATTTTACTTTCTTATTTGGCTTGGTCTTTGCATAAAACACTCGAAGATTTTGTATTTAAAGTGGCATCAGCGACAAGCCAGACAAACTTTTTGCCCGACCGTTGACTGTAGTGCTTGTGGGGGGTCTGTCGTTGGCAGGCAGAGTGGGTGGGTGGGTGGGTGGTTGGTTGCTTGGGCGTGTTTCTTTTTCACCGAGTGGTGCTTCTAACATATTGTCACATTGCCTGCCAGCGTGTGTCGACCTCGACGACAACGTTGTCGTTTTCATTGCGCCTCAGCGTATGCACTGCTTTACATGGCTAAAATTCAATTTTCCTTTGATTTATGCATTTTACGCTTCGGATTTGCACAGCAGCTATTGCTATTCACCATCCAACATGCTTTTCTACATTTAAAACTAACAAGAAGGAATATTATATACCCTTGTTAACCTGTCGACATCTGAATAGCGTTATAAATTTAACAAAATGGCCAATTGTTCTTATGAAAACTTTATGATATAGTAATTCGATGTTGTCCAAATTGTTGGTTGGGATATCTTGGAACTCATCGTTTTCCAAATTCGAAAGAGATCATCAGACGGACATGGCTTTATTGACTCGGCTCATTGTGCTGATAACTACTTTATGGAGCCGGAGATCTCGTCAATGAACTACAAACTTCAACACAAAATTAAAATATCCTCTGAAAGGGTATACAAATGCTAAAATTGAATCAAACGAAACTTGACAATATCAGCAAATGGAGTTGCCATTGACAGTCGCAGCTGTTACGTGAACTTTCTTAAATTACGAACATGAATAAATATATCTATTCAAGAATAAATATATACAATCCACAATAGACAGAAATAAAGCACATCTATTTTAAAGAGCATACCTTTCTCATTTGATATGTTGCCGTTCGCATATTAGTTATTACAGCATATTTCTAGCTAGTTTACGTAGCCTTTGCTGGAAATTTAAGCCAGCAATTAGACTAATTATATGGACATCGTGGCATACTGCTCCCCGAGCGCAAAGTGTGAAATCCCACAAGAATGCTCTTGTGGACGCACCCATTTTAACTCTGGCTATAAAACCACAGGTCGCACAACCGTAACAGCTTAGTTGGGGCAGCAACGTTAGTGTTTGTGTTGCATTATACGGAAACATGGCCGCAACAGCGGTGCCAGATGAAAAGCCGCGCAGCCTGCTGCCGGGACCGGAGCTGTTGACACTGCCAGGACTCGACTATCAACGTGCTAGCATCACATCGGCGGCGTTAAGTGATGTGCCCAGTGATGTGATTATCAAATCCCGGATCAGATACGGCAGTCGTCTGTCCGCTTGCAAGGGTCTGCTGCTGGAGTACTCGAAGAGCACTACCATCCATGGCATTCGCTACATATTCGAGGTGCATCGACCCATCTATGAGAAGTGCGTGTGTTGCCCTTTGTAATGGGCTTCGATTTGTTACCGCTTCTCAAATTGTGTCGTCCTTAGATTGTATTGGCTGGTACTGATCTGCACATCGGTTTACTTTGCTGTGTCCCTGATTTGGGCCACCTATCTAAAGTGGCAGGACTCGCCAGTTATACTGGGCTTTGATGAGACGCTGGTGCCGGTGCACATGATACCATTTCCCACCATAACAATTTGCCCGGAAATCAAAATGGAACGCAATATTTTCGACTATGCGAATGTCTCGGAAAGCATATGGCGGGACTTTAAGGAAAATAATGAAATATCCAGCATCGATGAGGAAGAGTTGAGTATTGCCGGGGCACTAGAATTATGTGAAGTTATGTAACAGGCAAAAGGAAGTATCTCTTGATGAGACTAAACAGTCAAGTCGATTTAGTCCGGCTGGTTAGCTATCGGTCTAAATGAATTGTAGAGTAACAGAAAAATTTGCACAGATCACATTTATTTTAGTTTTTCGATAACTTTCACCTTTAATTGATATATAATATGTAGAGCATTCTAATTATCAGTTTTTTTCTCACAGTTTAGAGCGCTTGGCCGCCACGATGCATATCTGTGACACTGATGTGGCAGCCAAATTTGCGCCGTTGATATCTAAGCTGAGGAGTTCCCTAACGCAGGACGTGACTGAAACACTGGTGGATTTGAGTATATCGAAGAATGCGACGGGTCCGTTTTGCAAATGGAATGGTCGCTTTTACTTCTGCAACAAGTTGTTTGACTTTGTGGCCACGGACGAGGGAATTTGCTATCAGTTCAATGGACTGCGTCCCAAGGACATTTATCGCGATGAGCGCTTTATCAGCTACGTGGATCCAGATGTTGTTGATTTTCAAAACTTCTTTGATACGGATTTGCCCAGACTCAATAACATTACCGGCAATTGGTCATTGGGCTCGGGCTTTGTGGATCAGGGTCAGAATTCGTATCCGCAACGCACTGTGGTCTCCTCGGTGCGCAACGGTTTCTTTGCCTTTCTGCAGGGACTGGAGCACAATTACGACTACGACTGTCGCAGCTTTAAGCAGGGCTACAAAGTGAGTAATAAATTTGAGGTGTTCTTTATTTTGTTTTGGGTGTGTGTTTATTGTATTGTTGCTGCAGGTGTTTCTCAACTCTCCGGAGAGTGTGCCGCTCACCTCGGGCAATTATATACTGGTGCCCCATGGCCATGAAGTCATGGTTAGCGTGCTGCCCAACTATGTCGTGTCCACGGATAATTTACACGAAATTAGCGCTGAAAAGTGAGCACATCAGAGACACACTCATACCAAATATTATACATGGTTGCACTATTCGAATAAGTTAATGGCACCACTTCCATTAAAAACTATCATTATTCATTTTTATAGGTTCATTTTTTTTTAAATTCATGACACTCACAAGTTTTATTGCATTTATAGTATTTGCAATATTTATAACATTCATAAAACTCACAACCCTTAAAATATTTACTAAATTTTCGATATTTAATAATTGATTTCAATTGGTCCTAACATTTACTTACTTTTAGATTATAAAATTTGAAAGTATGCATTTGATTTATAGCAATTATAAACATTGAAAAAATTCGCCAACATTATTCCACAGACGTCAGTGTTACTTCGATGATGAGCGTGCTCTGACCTTCTTCCGCAGCTATTCGCAGAGTAATTGCCAGACCGAGTGTCTCGCCAACTTTACCATGTCGAAATGTGGCTGCGTCAAGTTCTGGATGCCCAGTGAGTGAGATTATTGATAACTGAAATAATCTTATATTGCCAATAATTCAATTCCATGTTTGCCAATGCAGAGCCACTGGATGTGCCGGTGTGTGGTCTGGCCGATATTTCCTGCTATACGGCCGCACAGGATGAGCTATATACACTGCTGCAGAATCAGACAATACAGCAGAGCATCGATGTGAATGCCAAGGTCATGTGCAATTGTATGCCCGCCTGCACCTCGCTGGAGTACAACTTTGAGATCTCGCGCGCCTTCTACAATGTGGAGAAGACAATAAAAGCCTTCCGGGAGGTCTACGAGCACACTGAGTAAGCAGTTGCTTTCTCTTTCTATTGACAATAGACAGATTCTATATATGTATATTCTTTTGCAGTGCCATTGGCTCTCGTCTAACCGTGTACTTCAAGGAGCATCAGTTTACTGCCATCAAGCGTACGATTCTCTTTGGCGTATCCACATTGATATCCAATTGTGGCGGCATCTTTGGCTTGTTCATGGGCATCTCCAGTTTGAGCTTCATTGAGCTGGTCTATTTCTTCTCGATGCGCATCTGTGGCAGTTGCAGTCAGCGACGCAAGCGGAAGGCAATGCGTCAATTATTGCCACCGGATCAAAAGGAACCGGACGAAGTGACCCTTGAGCCGTAAGGCTTTGCCAATCACACTTTGCCACTTATCGATGTTCATATATGTATGCACAAGAATGCAATTTTATGAGGAATTTTGAATAACAAAATGCAGTCACATTTCCGAAAACAAGAATTCAAATCATTAAAAAATAACTGCAAAAGTATAATAATTCGAAGATAACTTTTCAACTATTTCGAGATAAAATGTTAAAGATACAAATTCGAATGACTAACTCATGTTTAGAGGAAAACAATTGCTGTCTGTGAAAATGCCTTATGGATACCAAATATTTAAGAAATCAATATGTACTTATTGGAACTGCCAACTGGCAGAACAGGCATACAGTTTTATGGGTCAGGCAGAGGCAGAGGCAGAGGCAGAGGCAGAGGCAGAGGCAGAGGCAGAGGCAGAGGCAGAGGCTGTGGCTGTGGCAAAGGCTAACCAGACATATACCGAGCATTACATACGTAAATATTTGTTTTATTAAAATTCCAGTGACAATGTGGAAATATTAAATAGTTGACAGACATTGAAATTGCCGCGAGCAGGCAGAAATAATGCAATTGTGTAATAAAACTGAAGTTGTTAGGATGGAAATTTACAGGAAGCGCACAAACACCACCAAAATGAGCAGCAAAACTAACAAACCTCAGGCGAGACCAGAACCAAAACCGAACCATCAGGGAAGTGAAATTAAAGCCGCACTAATGAGCAGATACAAAGCCGAAAGAGTGCATAAATGTGGCGACAACACAGGTCCAACGCCGACATTTCGTGGGCGTGGCAGCCGCAGGCAAGCTGGCTGCAGACCCACAGTGGCCAACAGCGGGCAAAGTGATTTCGGCCAAAGTTATATGGAGGGCTTTTCCGTTGCCTGCAGCTCTACATGACAGAAATGGACGGAAAAGTCACGTTCCGGATGGTCAGCTGGCAAAAGTAGGGGAGATTATAATGCCAAAAAGTCTGGTTACAAATGACGTCAACACACACACATACAGATACACATATAAGAGCTCATACACTTAAGTGCCCATAAGTATGCGTATTTCTGCGTGACGAAAAAATTGTGTGTAAATGAAGTACTTAAGTGGTGCCAAAAGGATGCTGAATAAAATACACTTGCCCGCAATTCACAAATTGTCAAAAGTTTAATATCTCTCCATTGAATTTGATTTTGTATCAGCTTTTGTGTATCAGAGTTTTATTTACCATTTTTTTATAGCTCTAAAATTATGGAATATGAGGATTTCGCGAATTATTTTAGGGGGGAAGTGAGAGTGCGTGGCCTGATAATTTATATTTCGATCTTTAATGGATTTCATCACCAATATTCGTCTTTAAAATGATGGAGCGTTTCTTAAAAAAGGCCATACTATAATTTGAACATCGAATATATGCAAATATGTATATTTTGAGCCCTTTTGCATGTGAGGGACAAACAGCGTTAATACGTTACTGCAAAATAGGTTTCATTCGGATGTTTTCGCATGCTTGGGCGGCCGTTATGAGGTTAGTTCCTCGACGGACATGAAGCCAGAATCGCCGAGGCAACGTAGTGTCACATAGCCGGATGGCCATATTGTCAGCCATGTGATGGAGCCGTGATGCAAGCTAAAACGTGTCCACGCTTCCGGTGAGAACTGTAGGGCACGACAGACCAGATAGCGGATGACATTGGCGTGGCCAATCAGGAGCAAGTAGGAGTCCTGCTTCTGGTCGGGCGAGGCGCGAAAGAAATAGCGTCGAAAGGCGGCCTCGATGCGTGGCCCGTCGCGGCGATAGGCCCGCTCCACGCTGGCGGCACTGCGCTTCTGGGGCGGATCTGCCGGGCAGGGTGTGCCCTCGGGCAGCAGTTCGCAGCGTTTCATCTTGAGCGGATCAAAGTTAATTTGCTTCAGTATGATCATCGCCGTCTCCTGGGCACGTGTCATTGTCGAGGCCACCACATGATCCCACAATACGCCCATCTCACGCAGCCGCCGGCCGGCACGATGGGCCTGCAATCGTCCCAGATCCGTAAGATGACCGCCATCCGGCGAGGAGGTGTACTTTCCATGCCTCACCAAAACTATGTGACGTAATGCAACGGGTCCTTCCTGACCATCCTCCTGTCCGTTTGACGTTTCCATTAGCTGTTTGCGCTGATCCCAGTCATGGCACCAGCCACCCTTGTTCGAATTTGCAGACTCATCAAACTGGCTTTCGTCCACCTGTCGACGATCGAGCATCCTTAGGCTTCCATACGTCGCCAAGGAGCCGATGCTAAACGCACCCAGCGAATGCCAGAGGCTATGTAGTTTCATTGCTTGCAAATGGGAAATCTTTAAAAGCTGATTTGACATGTAAAACTTGTGAAAAGCCATTTCGAATACTTTTTCTAGATGTAGAAGATGTAGAAACTGTGAAACCAAACGCCATAAGGGAACTACATAAGGAGTTTAGGATTGTTAGTTGCACTTTTATGATTATACTTTTGTCATATCATTGTCGCAATTTAAATCCATTGAATAGCAATTATCAATCGATTTTTATGCCTTGAACCCAATAAAATTGGGTAAAAAGGCTATATTGGTTTCGTCCAAATGTATGTGACAGACAGAAGGAAGCATCTCCGACCCCATAAGGTATATACATGTATATTCTTGATCAGGATCAACAGCGGAGTCGATATAGCCATTTATTTTTGAACACACGGATCTTAGAGACTATATGAGCTAGAGAGCAAATTTGGAATATAGGTTCTCGTATATCCGGTGCAGAATGAGCTTGCTTTATTTCATCGATAGCTGCCTCCGATTCTCGAATATCGATACATTTCGATTTCCGATAGCAATAAGTAAGACAATCTTAAAGGCAGAGGCTTCTTATTAATATATAATATGAATATGCATATTATTGATCAACTGCCCGAATTTCATCAAGATCGGATAAGAAACAGCCAATTATATTCAGACTTGTGTAATTATTGAAGTGATGCAATTCAAAAGTGTTTTCGGCTTTTGCATTTGAGCTTGAAACTTGAGACTTTATGCAGATTTGTCTGTCTTTCGTCGCTGTTTGAAGCGCACTGTTGATTAGCATTGGAAAGTGGACTTGTGGGATTGTTAAGAGACTTTGCTTGCCAACTTGATGTCAAAGTTATTTTTCCCCTTGGCAAAATACTTATGAGCAACTTTGGAACGCAGAACTTGGCGCCTTGCACAATCAGCAAACCGAATCCTAGCAAGTTTGAAAGGTATTCAGTGTCAGTTGTTGAGCTGATCGACTACAGAATACCCTTAAGCTGGAATACAGTGTATAGATAAACTTTTTTATAATAATTATATCGAAAATCTGAACTTATCTCTAAAATAATCAACATTGTTTTCTCAGCTATAAACTGACAAATCCCAGCAAGCTTTGCGAACAATCTCTTCTTATTAAACTCACCTTTTTCTCTTATTGACACAACCGGACAAGAGTAGCAAAAGATTCATAAATCCTTTACTGCTGCAGCCCATAAAAAGTCAAAGGCCTATCATCAACATTTTCGCTGGTTAAAATACTTTTTGCCAAGTTTCTGGTTCATTTAATTTCGCCTGCCAGCATGAAAATCGCAAAGAATTTGAGCCGTCGTTAGGGCCAGAGGAAAATCAGTACTCGGAGTGGGTTATGGAATACAGACATATCCACAAGTGGCTGGCCTTGGAAGGGATTCACTTTTGCGCTCAGTTGCCTGTCAGATTTCGACTTAATGAAGTTCCAGCAACTTTGGCATCTTGTCCGGGTCACAGTTCCAGCGACAGCGGCAGTCGTAAGAAAATTAAATTAAACGAATGAATTGACAGCACACTGGGAGAAATTGATGTGCGTCAGAAGTAAGAAAACACTGTTGGGCATTTGAGCGTTGAATGCAAGTACGAAAAACAATAACTAATTCTGAGTTCAACTTTAAATTGAGTTGAATCTTTTAAATTGTTGGCCATTTGTATTTTTCTGAGTGTAGTGCTGAATGTGTGAACGCAGTGTAAGATTGAGCTACAAAATATGCACAAGGCGAGGCTTATTGATGCGCATAAGAGTCTCATCAATGGCAAGGTGGCGTATATAGAATGTGGTTGCATTTGTCCTTGTGGCGCCTCTTACATGCGCTTTTGTGAGTTACTTGCATTCCGCATTCACACATACACACACACACACACACACTCATACTCGCGTATTCACATTCACACATTCGCCAAGATACTTTCTCCGATAACTTTTTGTCGGGTTGTTAAAGTAAGCCACTTACCGTAGCCATAAAATAGACCAGCGCACATTGTTAGTCCCTTTGTATGACCTAGAATCGTAAATCTTATAAGATACGACATCTATGTGAATACTACTAGCGCATGCCACGTGTGCATTATATATATATACATATGTGTGTGTTGGTGTGTGTGTGTGTGTCAGGCATGTCAATTTAAAGTTGTAATTCGACTTGAGATCTCGTTGAGCTGCCCGCCCAAGGCCAGTGTAAATTGCATAGAAATATTACTTTTAGATAATTGCATTTGGCTTTAAGGATTTTAGGCGAAACAACAAAGTAAATGTGTATAATAAATAACAAGAAAATGTTAGAGATTTAAGCTAGATTATGAATTCATTAAGCTGCCTCAGTGTTGATTTTCTATGAGTGTAAGTAAGTATTATGAAACAGATAAGCTTATTTTAAGAAAAGCAATCGGATTGTCACAGGCAAATAAGTTCCATAAATGTCTCATAAATCATTTATGGAACTTATTTGCCTGTGCCAGTGAACACTTATTTTAATTAAGACCCAATACACTCATTACAATAAATGATTTATATATTTGCATGGTTAGTTTCCATAATTGTTGGCAACTAAACGCGCCACATGGCATGGGGCATGTTCTGTGGTCGATAAGTCTCTGCCAAGCAGTCGTATCCTGAGAGCTGGTTTTTATTGCTAATTTGGGTGTTAGTGTGTGTTGTGTGTGTGTTGTATTGTAAACAAATGTTAAAGTCGGCAAATGGGAGAAAGGCAATGAAAGTTAAACAATGTTTGCGGCGATGTTTTCCTTTTACGCAAATAATTTCTTGAATTTGCCTCCAAGTGTGCCTTGGGGCGTTGTGTCCTTGACACAATTCCAGGCGCTTGTTTCTCCCGACTGACACGCCCACTAAAAAACCCTCCCACCCCACTTACCCCCTCCCAGCCGACATAGCCACATAAAAGCACAAAACTTTTGATTTTGCCAGCAGATAATTTCAGTGAGCCGCCGCTGAAGCGGCAAGAGTCAAGTGCGGACGAGCCGGGGATAGCCGTTAAAGGAGGATGGGGGAGGGGGTGTGGGTGCGCGGTTTTTTGCCACTTAAAGTAATGCAACGTTGGTAGATAAAGTGCAAAAGGCAAATGAATGCAAAATGCGACAAGGCAAATAAGGAAATCAAAATGGCAAAGCGAAATAAGAGGCGAGCGAAAATTGAACATCCTGCTGCAGGATGTGCCGGACGGAGGAGAAAGCACACGAAGGACATCGCTGCCCCATCTATGACCACAAAGTGCGTCATAATTATGGGGCAACCGCGATAAGCGAGTAGATGGCAACAAGACGCACTACTTCCAAAGGACTATACATTTCTCTTAGGTGGAAAGGCACAATTGATGCCAAGGACTGTCGTTCCAGCTGCTCGAGCTGCTGCACTTGCTGCACAACACAGGGTAACCATAGCCATAACTGACCCAATCTCAATGCTCCCCAGCCACTTAGCTGGGCACCCAGTTTTTTTTTTTCTTTTTTTTTTTTGTGTCCTGCGCCACTTTGCGCAATGAGAAATTTCCGTTTGTCCAACTATATATTTTCTATTTCTCTTTTTCTGCAGTTGAGAGATGACATTTTTGCAAATTGCCATCATAATAATAATCAAATTCGTGTAAATTTTACGCAAATTCAAGAGGGAAATGGTGCCACGCCCTGCCAGCCTCCTAGCCCCCACCCTCCCAATCCCGACCAGTGGCACATTCAGGTCCTCCATCCTCATCTCGGACGCATTTCGAGTTAATAGCTTTTTCGTTTTAGTTGATGTTGATGAAATTGAAAACATAAACTAAAACTTGCAACACAAAATTTGTACACTCTGTAGAGAGAGCGATAGAGCAAAGAGAGAGAGAGAGCGAGGGATATAGAGAGCGACAGCGAGACAGAGAAAGAAAAGAAAGCGAAAGAGAGCGAAACGATTGCAGTAAGTAGAGAGTTAATGACATTTTCGTTGCTATTAGCAAAAACTGAATTTGTTGGCCAAGTTTTGTTAATCTATATAAATTCTGCATATTTCAAAGAGTAACTAAATATCCACAATACCAGAAACTAATTTAATTCGTAGCTATTAAGTCGGAAATTAAATATTTGTTGTGCCTTTTAACAAGCATAAAAGGCTTCCGTCCTTTTAATGATTTAATACAATTTGTTTATATTTTTCTAAATATTTATATGTTAGTAATTTGTTTCAGTTTAGGTTTGTTTGCTTGTTTGACAAGTTGATCAATACAGATATTCTATGCAGGCAATTTAACAGGGGATCTTTTAAATGGAATACCATTTCTAGGCATAATAAATCTGGCTGGTTGCCCTTAGATATGGGCAGCACAATTAGAAAAGCCAAATGTTTTGCAACACAGCACAAAACTAACAACATTTACAGCAGGCTGAAAGCATAAGATATACGACAAACACACACATGCTTATAATAACACACACACACGTGGCGCACACACACACACACACATGACACACTTAATAGCTCATACGAAATGTTGTCCCTTTGTTGACTGGCCTCGTTTGTTTACGGTTTACTGGATTAATGTTAGTGAAAAACTTGGAATTGCTGTTGCAACAGCAGCAACAGCAGCAGCAGTAACAGCAGCCAATGCTGTTCAGTTTGTTATTTCTTTTGAAGTTAAACAAATCTGCATAAGGTAGAGCCAAAAAGCCGTTAAAATTTATGTGCATAAATGTAGCGCACACCCAGCTACACTCAGACAAATACTATGATTACTCTGCTAACTATATATTTAAAGTAAAATATGACTTTTGTTTGCTAATAATAATTTCAACATTTTGTGAAATATTACATCCATGTCAAGAAAATAAATCATAAATAGATAAACAAATTTCTTATGCTCCTGTTTCGTGGCTGCAGAATGAAATAAACAAATCAATGTTTTATAGACTTTAAATTATTTTAAAATAATCTTATCTCTTACATATAAATAAATGAATGGAAAGCAATAATTTAATTTGTAAATTTTCTTTTATATTTCCCAGTCAAATGATGTTTTCTG